GTTGACCAACTATAATGTATAATTAATTTATGTAAGTGAGATTAATGATCGTATACGGTTACCGTACTCTTAGATCATAAATTACAAGATTAATAGGAACCGGTTCAGCAGTTATGTGCTAGACATTGGGCTTGTATGTTTTAGCACGGTCTGCGGGCAAAGCAAATAATATGTTGTCGATTGTCGAACTGCTAACTACTGTGGTAAAAACGTAAGCACTTGAAGGAATGACGATTAAATTAAATTGTCATCGTGTCGGGTATTATAATCCGGACTGAAGTGAGGTATTTGTTATGTTGTTGTCTTACGGATGTAAATGTATGTATGTGATCGTTTCTTCGATGTCCGAGTAGTGTGTGCAGCTGACAGAGGATGAGACAGAGGGAGATAGAGTGCAGCAAAAAAAAAAAAAAAAAACGGGATGTGCGGTAATAAGCTATCCAGTAATGATGAAGTGATAAAAAAAATTATAAAAAAAAATAAATAAACCACACGAATAATAATATGTCTTCGACAAGTACCGATTGGTTGCACTTATTTTTTTTTTTCGCCCGCATTGTGTTCATTATATTATTATTATATTTTGTAGGTAAACGTACATATTTAAATTATCGACGGTGCGGTATTTTCAAATAAATTACAGAGACCGAAATGTTTTCACCGTTACGTATCAGACAATAGCCAACAACGATTACCTTCCGCTATTTTACCCATAGTGCACTTCTTATGGTCTCTCTCATAAGGTATCTTCTTCGGTCGCGTTGTCATTACACATGACAATAAAACAAAAAAAAAACCAGAAAAGAACTTGGGGTTTCCCAGCTTCTTATCTAACTTAAAGTTAAACTAAACGTATAGGTACTATTGTCTGTGGGTTGACGTTGAACTTCAGTCATGTCTCAAGTTAGCGTACAAACGTTTTGATTTCAATGGTAATCATTTTGGAAAAATATAGTTAATTATTATGTCGGTATTCCTGGCTTTGTCGTGCTCCCGCTAAATATCAAAAAGCCCGTCTTCTAAAATCTGAAGTTTACAGCGTTTAAAAGTGTACAAATTTCCAATAATTTTTAGGGATTTCTCAAGATTTCTAAAGATTTGTGCACTGATTTCCAAGAGTGATTTACCCTCTGCAAAAATGGTTTGTCCTAATACGATGCAAAGGCTTTGGCCTCATTACAGAAAATGTGTACAGCGAAACACTGACTCTTAGCCTCCCTCCCTATAAAATATTTGAGTGCTTAGTTCTTTTTTTCTAATATTGACGTACAAATCTTATGCGTCATTGGCTAACCCGTTTGCATGATTATAGTTTTAACAATATAATATTTTCTTATGTACAGTGATGTTTTCTAACAATAAATAAATTGTAATATATTCAAATTCGAAATGCATACTATAACGGAGTATAGAATTATTTTAACCTTTAATAAAATGTTAAGGTATAATAAATTATAATATGTATTAATGTTCAAAATAACTAAATTTTTAGCGGCATTTATAAAAAATGATCAATTTAACAACCTAGAATCTTATAATAAGATCCACATTTTTTTTCTTAATGAAATTCTATTATAAAAATCTTTAATGATATTTCATACACCTATAATAATAATACTGTGTTATTAATTTGTATTGTTAAGTTATTCATTTTATTTCTGTAAAAAATGTATTGTTGGTACTTCTGTAGACATTTTTGTACCAACGTTTTATTAAAATGTAAAGACAATTTTTAGAGTAACCAAATTCAACGCATACTCGAGTTGAAAACACATTAAAAAATCATTGATGGAAAAAAAATGAATTACTATACATTTATTACTACATAGCTTGTTTAAATCAATTTTGGTTTAAATCTATCGTTAAAAACAAATAAGCCTTTTATTCGGCGGTAGGTAATCTAACTTTGTGCTTTTAAAAACACTCAACTTAACTGTATTGTATTACTTAGTTGTATTATATAACTTCATTGTATTTATGCAACGAAAAACCATGTGTGCCAACTTTCCCGTTTGACATAATGTTAACATACTTTATCATAACGTCGTCAAATTCCCACGGCGTTTGTTTGTTTGTTTTTTAAAGTAGATTCGAATAAGATATCGGTTAAATTATATTTTAGTATAAAATAATTAGGACCTCGGATTGTATTATGGTTAAGTGTCGCCCAAAACTAGTATATTATAATAAGTATAAGAGCGGTAGTTTTTTTTCTCGGCAGAAGCGACTTAAACCTCGTACCTAGTACAAGTCAGTATATTATAGAAATAAAATATAAAAACGCGTTTCCTTATAGTTGTTGTTGTTTTTTTCTTCAGTTCTAGATGAAAAACGGTAACAAGATAAACGATCCGGGCAATTTGATCGGGATTTCAGACCGCTCTCCATATACCTACCCGTCACGTACAGTTGTGTAGTCAAGACAAACATATACCGGTATACATTGATAATAGTATGTACCTTACCCACAACGGTTTCCTTGGAATTAAGAAGCACTACTCTACCCGTATTGGTTCCATTAAGTGTTGTCACATAAATATTATTATTATAATAATGATAATAGTATAGTCTGAAGAGAAGTGAGTATCGTTGTTACAGGGTTAGGTACACGTTGAAACCTTAAAATGTTTTAATTAACATAAAAACTGTTTGATTTGATCACTGAGGAAGGATTGTCACAAGGAAGTATCCGTACAATGATGATACTATTAAGTGTGTGTGTGTGTGTGTGTGACTGTGTGTCCACATATTACCTAATGGAATTACATTTTTATCAAAAAAACTCGAGAGACGGTTTTCTTTATACAAAATACAACTCATCCCGATAACGCGGATGTACACATTTGTCATAGTCTCCGAACTCGTCAATGAAATGTAATATTAAAATATTATTACCCATTTGGGCCATGAGGGAATGAGGGTAAATCCTCATTAACAAAATATATCTTATAAGGATATTAGGTGCTTAGAATATCGTTTTACTTCTAATTAGTTAATTGAAAGAATAATTTCGAAAGTTATTGTTAGAAATTATTCGGATAAAATATTATCTTAAATAATTATTTAAACTTAAATGGGGTATTATACATACACTATTTACACAAGGATTTCAATTGTAATACTTTTTTTGATAATTTTCTTCTAGTTGTTATTCTTCATATGACGAACTAACAGCTATTATTTATACAAACATTTTTTATTCGAATCATGTTATTTGTAATTTTTAATTTTTACCGTTTTGAATTGGGTAATATTGACATTAATTTTCACTTTCAGGTTAGTAAGGTTTTCCTCTCGCCCCGCCTAGTTCCAGTTAATTCTAATTTATTATTTATTCGTGGTATTTCTGATTTGCTTACCAATGTACGTTTGCACCAAATGGTTAATTAAGTGCACTTTTCCCAAGTGTCCGAATACACACTAATAAATAAAAGAAAATTGCATAACTCCCATTGTTTGGGAAAATTAAAATATTAATTACTCGTATAGCGTTATAAGTCGCAGTATTTTTTTTTAAATTATAATTATTAGGTCTATGATGGGTAAAAAAAAATCTGACATACAACACCGTATAGTGTAGTAATTGCACCTCGACAATGTGATCTCGTTTACATTATTCACATGCGACCTACAGTGAAAGTGTGCGATAGTTTTAAATAATACTTATTATTATTATTATAATTATAATAACAATAAGTGATCCCTAAACATTTGAATTTGCACATAAATCAATTCTTGCTTCTAAACAACGGTCGATTTTCTTATTGATCACTAATTCAACAATAGCTGCATTTCATAACACTAACATTTCCCTCTTATGGGAACCGTTACACGATTTAGTGTATCGGTGAGAACGTTAAACGAAAATCTTATCTTTATCTGAATAAAAAAAAAAATACTAGAACATCATGTTTTCGTTTTGTCTATTTCAATTATAATCCAGGAAATATAGAAAATTAGGTAAAAACAAAAACAACTAAGTCATTATGCGAATTATTGTAGTGCTTACGGAATTCATCGAAATAAATCCCAAGGTTTATAATAATAATTACATAAATAATATGTTTAAAACATAATTGCACGTTTATTGTTCACTTTAAATGACTTTAAAAAATATTTTATTTAAAATTTTAAAATAAAATGTTATCTAAAAAAAAAAAATCATTATAATAATAATTTTATGTTTGTTTTAATTTCCTAAGTTAATAAGTATTTAAAATTAATATTTTAATTTTTCCCTTGGTGACATACCATAGGTCATTGGGATAAAAATATTTATTATATAGGTACTAGCTATTACATTAGTTGGTAAAATTTTGTACAAAACAATGTATTAGTTTATAAAAAGTAACCTATTATATTATATATATTGATAATATAGAATATTATAGAAAATTTCAATTGAATAAATTGTAATTTTATCGACTACTGTAGTACTACAATTTTATTTACATTTTCTTCGGCTTGTAAATAATGTAATTTTGTATTTTTAATTACTTCTGCGTTAAAATTTAACTCCTTGTCAAGTATACCGTTGTATTGTTATAGTATTAAGGCTTTTTATGTTATCTTATTTGTAAAATATGTGAATATTACCCGTTTAGGCGAAGTAGGTAAACATTTTAATGTATTTTACAATTAAAATAATTAAACAAAAAACTATTTTGGTTTTCACTTAGTTTAATTTCCTTATTATCATTAATTATACTATTAAAATATTATCCGGTCAAATGGGCCAAATGTGAGTGCATTTAAAAAAAAAAATAGTCAAAAAAACTAAAAAAAATTGTATTGACAACATTTGTTCATAAAGTAGTTAAAAAATTAAATAATAAAAAAACTGATATATTGTCTGTTATTTAAGGTCGAAAAAAGTACATTTACATTTGTCCCGTTTATTTACCTTTTCCGCACTTGAGCTTTTTCATTTAAGTTAACTATTTTTCCGTTCTTTCGAATTTAAATTTAAATAACTATATATATGTATATTTTCCACTCACTTGGCTATCCATACGCTGCAATATAGTCCTCATCGATGGTTGGGTGTGTTTTTTTTAACCAAAGAGTATGTGGTATTTTGAAAATTCCCTCTAAGCACGCATACGGAGAAGAACACTAGTCACACAGCACGTTTCGAACTGTCCGTTGGTTCTTCAGAGGAATCTTCGTTTTTGCGGTTGCCACTTCCCGAGGCCTAAGCAGTAGACTAGCGCCACTCTCCTCTGTCTGATCACGCCCCTCGTGTTGTCCAACGTTATATGTATATATACTGTTATTTTTATTTACACAATATATATAATATAATTAATTTAATTTTTTTAAATCTCCAAGATTTTACAAAAAATATCATACTTGAAATATATTTTCATATATACCTAAAAAAAATATAATAAATGTTAAATATATATCTCCAACAAAATAGAAAGGACTATAAAAATGATGAAACTTGAGTAAACTGTCATTCAATTTCAATATAGAGTATAAGCATTGGTGCGATTACAGGAGGTAGACACAGTGTGTTAGACACATTCAAACACATAAAATGTTTATGGTGAAAAGTCAAAAAGCCTTAACTTTTATATTAGATTTTTTTAGAGGGAGATTTATTGATTAGTTTATTACAAACTTGTAGAGTTTTGAGTGTAGCTAGACCCGGAGAGTGTAGCTAAAAAGTCCCTTTTTTCGAAATGGCAATTTTTTTTAAAAAAACTACATTTTAACAATTTTTTTTAAATTTTAAAACTTTTTTTGTGTAAAAATGATCAAATAAAAGTTTTGCAGACTGAGAAATTTTATACAAAAGGAGTTAAATATACATTCGAATATACGAATTTTGACTAAATATTTATTTTTTAAACTACACACTTATTTTGTTTTTAACATAGTTAATCGTATATACCCCCCTAAGCTTTAAATTTGGCAAAATTAAAAAAAATAATTGAACTTAAATGAGTTTAGGTGATAAATTTCCAAATTAAATTATAATAATTATTAAATTGGTACCTAACTGAAAATATTGTTAAAAGTAATTTGAGTTTTGACAAATGTGAACTTTTGTCCTCTGAAATATGTTCCCATAAGTTTTCCTAGCTAATAAGTTTGGTCCCAGAATAGTAGGCCGATACCTCCTTAGTCCAGGTCTGGAATTTTATTCAATTTGTTCACAATTTCCAAGGTACAAAATTAAGTAAACACCATTTACAATTCTGTGTCAACTTTTTAAAAACAATAAACTACACATATGACTAATGGATACAATATAACATTATCAAATAATACAAAAAAATAAACAGAATAGATAAAAACTAAATGCATATGTATCTATTTGAAAATATCCAATGTTCTACCCTTAAAGATATTTTAACCCGTTGAGTCGTAGTGGTGTATTATTAAAACTACCTTTTTAATATTTATTTGTTTGTTCCGTCGTGGTGGTGTTTTATTAAAACCACCATCAGCCGATACCATTGGCCACACCGTAACTGAAAAAAAAAACGTTATGATATTATGATATTTATTTTAATAAAAAAATATAAGTGTTCAAGATTTTTTTTAAAAGTTACTCAAAGGGAGATTAGATTTCTAAATTACTCAAAAATCATTAGCTGTCTAGAAAAGTCAGAATTAAATTATCTAAGTTCAAGAAAGTTCAGCACATCACACTTTTTTCGGAATTCCAAATAGATAAAATATAAGTTTTTGAAAAAGTCAGGTGTTTTTTTAGTAATTCTAAGAAAAAATAACCAAAAATATATATTATTAAATACATTATCACTGTATAATAAAATAAGTGAACGACTAACGAGCGAGGGAAAGTTAATCAATAAATCATCATTTATTTTTATGACTTAATTTTTTTTATTAGATGCGACATTCTTAAGCACATACAGAGTATATTAATTTTAGAAAATATAATAAAATCTGAAAAATGTAGTTTCAGTCGTAGAAAAAGTTAAGTAAAACAATGTTTGGTAATTATCATTAAATATAGCTAAAGAAGCCAATTTAGAAAATATTTCTTCTTTTTAATCGTTCCTCAAATTTGAAATTATAACGATAATTAAAAATTAATTATTACTAGGTAATTGTGGTTAATCCATAAAATATCAGTGTAGAATTTGTGAATTATGTATATGATGTTTCTTTAAGTGTGTAGGTACATGTACTTCTTCAAAGAAAGAGTATGCAAAGAGTGCAAATGACAACAGTGATCTAACCATATAAACAGAAAAAATGATAAATGTACTTTGGTCAACTTGGTCAAAATATGTGTAAAATAATAACATAAAGTAACAAAAATGCAATTTTAAAGATAACTCCCTCGACAAAACATTAATTGAGAATTAGCTAAGAAATTTCAAATAAAAAACTTAAAAATTATAAAAGTATTGCCTATACTATAGCCTAATCATACCGAGAGGTTAAAATTTTAAGTATGTAATGTGTCCTTTTGTTTTGTTGTTATTTACAACTAAACTTTAATAAATATATATTTTTTTTTAATTCAATTTTGAGGAAAATCAAAAGTTTTTTTTTATTTGTGTAAAAAATATTGAAATATTAAAAAGAATGGTAACAAAACCGTGTTGAATCGTAAGGTACGGATTACCTCCTGGCGTTTTATTCTCTGATGGTATTACATCAAGGTGAAATTACTATGCAAAAAATTGTATTCGTTGGTTTTTTTATTAAAAAAAAAAAAAATCATGTTCTTAGGTATTTTTATTTTTCACAACATTTAAGTAGGTTAGCCATTGCGATGACTGCTAGATATGAACCATTGTTTTACCTTGTACAGGAAATCCAAGAGGAATGAAAGTATAAACCACCGTAGGTATAGCCCACTCTGAACTGAGGAAAATTGTGTCTGTGCAATACAATTTTTTTTTCGAAGTCAAGACATATTAATAATAAGTATTATTATCATTACTAGTTACTACTAAGCTGTTTGATGTGCTTTAGTGATAATAAATCATAACGTTATAACTGATATCTAGTACCGATATGTGTTGTAGTTTATACACATTTTGTGTAATCAAATCTATTGGAAAATAGTATTATCATTTTGTTTTTTTTTTTTTTACTGCTTGTCTATTCATCATAATATTGTCCAATATCGCCCACGAATCATATTAATCCCAAATCTAGACAAGCTGTTAAATAATAATGATAATGACGTTATTTACCTATGTTTGTTTATCAAATTAGAGCGTGAAAAAAAATCACAGTTTTTAATTTTCCTGATGTACCTGGTCACTTTACAGATCTTATCTAGCTGTATATCTATAGATCAGATTGGATTTTAATAATAATAATGATAACAATAACAGTAAGAGTGAAGATTAGAATGGATAGGATAATTATTGTGGATTTTCTACGTGGTAAATTGAATTTCACGAGCATCTTGTTTTCGACTTTGGAATTAAGTAGTTAGAAGGTGCTGTGTTTATCAGGTTATGGGAATTTCATTGTTAGCGGTTACTGTTTAAGAAACACGGTTCTCACTTCTCAAACCCAGAATAAAAGACTGTGGCGTCCGGTAATAAGTGACCATAATAACAATAATAATATTATAGTATACTAACATATTGTTGACGGTTATATTATGAAAATATTTACCTTGAGTTATTATATTATTATAATATACAAATTCAATTCAATAATATTATAATAATTTTAGAGGTAATATAGGAATTTTGTTCGTTTTTTAAAACTTAAACAATTTGTTGCATTTTAAATAAAATACTTTACTTCATAACGTTGTAACGAATAATAATTTATTTATAGATTTTTACTGTAAATTATCATACTGTATTATGGTTTCACCTTAATATTATACCAAAAATATGTTTTTTGAAAAGTAATCAACAAATTTTCACATTTTTGGCTCTACAGTGTCCCATTCTTGATGGAGAAAATTAACAAAAATCATTAACTCAGGTGGTCTAATGTAGTGATGGGAATCCGAAAATCCGGATTTTTCAAAAAAACGCTTTTTAAGTCATTTGAAAATCATATAATTGTTAAATACTATTACAATATAAAGATGTGTACCTAAGTAAAATTTGTTGATAAAAATTTTTAAAAAAAACTCTTAACTTTGTCTATAAAATGCTTTTGGATTTCGGATTCCGGATTTTCGGATTTCAACAAATCCGATATTCAAAAGCAGTTTATCTCTTTGGTGTTTTGTTTTATTTTCACATATTTGTCAAAAAAATGTTACTTAGACATAGAGCTTTATATTGTAAAATTATTTAACAATTAAATGATTTTTAAGTAGCTTAAAAAGCGTTTTTTTGTGAAAATCCGGATTTTCCTATTCCCATCACTAGTCTAATGTGTTCTTCGCCCAACACAACCCCCAAAAATGTTTTTATTTTATTCTAGTCAAACTTTATCTTAAACATATTTCGAACAAAATCTATACAAAACTAAAATTCAAACTAAAACTTAATCCAAAAAATATATTATCGGTGTTGTAAGTTGAAATAAATGTATAAAAAAAAACTAGTTTTAATATCAAATTTAAAACTATACATACAAAATATGTAGAAAATACTATACCATATATGTATTAGATAAGATAGATAATGTATTTTCCTTAATATAAGTTATGGCCTGGTTGGGGTAAAAAAAAATTATTAAAAAAGAAAAGAAAATGACATACATATACTGTATTGGCATTTTAAATAAAATTAATTTATGCAATTATTAATCAATTTAATTAGATAGCCGTTTTTAAAAAAAAATATTATATAGTTTACCAATATTTACTGTACCTATAATATATATTAATTATTATGCTAATGCTTAGTGTTTCTTAATTCTTAACAAATTCGTATAAATAGTGTAAATAATAGATTAACTTGTTGTTGAACATATTATATTGCATAAAGTCTATGCAATATTTTTGTACTCTTGGTCCTGTCTATCTCGCAACGAAATCATTTTTTATTAGCCTTACTAATTGGTATTTATTTAGATGAAAACATGTTTACACACACTCTAAATATAATATTGATTAGGTACCTATTTAACAAATTATGTCAATTATTATGAAGTGATTTATGTAAATCATTGGAAAATTTAGGATACTTTAATTAGACTAATAATTAATAAAATACAGAATCTTAAAAGATATTGGACTATTAAAAAATTATTGAATATTCTTTATACATTTTACATCAGAAAAAAAGTATTTAATTAAATATCATAATTAGAAGCTTACTTAAAAATGTGCATTGAAAACTAAACATTTAAATTAAGATTAACACATATCAAAATCATTTTAAAACGAAAAACATTTTAAAATTATGTTATGTCTTTTGGAACGATACATACGTTTCGTTCCAAGAACTTTAAACTTTATTTTACATCTTCCCTAACGACATTACTTGACTTTAAAATGATTTTTATTAACTTTTTATTTTTAGTTAATAATCAGTTAGGTTTTCTGACTATTATACTGTCAACAATTTCAATCAATGTCTGTTGTAGTTATAACAAACAATGGAAATTTTGGCTTCAAAATTAAATTCCTGTAAATAACTAATTAGTTAGACTGAATGTGTGAGTGATTGTGTGAACAGACAATTGAACTTGATAATAAATATTTCATTATTTTTAAACTGATTTTCGAAAATTAGTGAACATTTCCACTTTCTTAGCCTGCACTACTAACTACTATCCTGCATCACTAATAATTATTAACAATAAATATAAATCTAAAAATAGTAAGTCGAAGGTATATTTTTTATAGATACTTAAACAATAATTTACGCGATATAAGCATTAAGCCCGAATTTAATTTGAATCAATTAATGTGAAAGTAAAACTATTAACAATATAATTAATTTATCGATAGCACTATCATAACAAAACAAATCATGCGAAAAGTTTAGTTTGTTATTCTTGATACGAGTAATTAGCACTGTATAATGTGCACGAGGTTAAGTTCTCAAGCAATTAAGTGAAAGGTTATCAAGTTCCTAGTTGAAGGTATTATAGCAACAATATCAGCAATGGGCGCGTTTGTCCATTTTAGTGATCACATACATTTTAGTACATCGTTTGGGTTTCCAAATACACCACATTATATTATAAGCCGTTCAACTTCAAGAAATCAATCGATTTTCAATTACTGTGTGCATTGAGTGTATTGTATAGCTTTTTTGGAAAATGCATATAACCTCTAAGGTATAATATTATAATAATTGTTTGTTTTTGTACATTTAAAACATTTTATTTTTCTTATTGATCGGTGTTGATTTTTTTTTTTAGATTTCTATCTTATGCATAATACTGGCCGTATGTCTTGCTGCACTGCCGACTAGTGCTAGTCCACCGGCTAATCAATCTAGCATAGTGGCTAGTGATTTGCCCGGCGTGACCACAACGTTCACAGACAAAAATGGTTACACTGTCACACATGTAAAGAAAGAATATGTTGATAACCGACCCGGACAAACGTTCAATGTATCCGTGATCGAAATAACCAAACGGTTGCCAGATGGTGGCCCGAAAAGTATAAGATAAGAACTTAGATTCGGCCTACATCCGTTCAAAAACCATTGGAAATCGGTCGTTATTTTTTTTTTTTAATAAACTGCATGTAATCCGTGTAACGATTTGATATTGTTTTTTTGTTAATTTGTTGATAATTTAATAAATACCAAATGTATACTCTCTGTATACTCATAGAGGGTGATCTTACTCCGCCAAAATGACCAACCTAACGACGTATAAGAGGTGAATTTATTGTATAAATCAAAAATGATTGTAGTTGTCACAATCAAATTCAATATTGTTGCCCGTTTATGTTATGTTAGCATTCGCGAATTTTGTTAATATTTCATGTTTTTTCCATGTACACAGGTGACATGCTCTACCGGTTGTATTTTGTTATTCATTTTTATCAAACAGAGCTAGTGCAAACAAACATTAGCCCAAAAACTAAACATTGAATCGAATCGACCTGAATTTACATTAAAGCAAAAAAAAAAAAATTGCCTATTTAAATTTCCACATACTTTTGAAAGGCATAACGAATATTATGTATCCACCAATGTATAATATGCTAACAACGGCTAAGGTAATACAATTTTTTTGGCTTTATGTTTGGACCTTATACACCTATTCAACATCAATTACAACTTTTTTAAAAGATAAACAAAAAACATACTAAGCAAGAAACAGATGTCATTTAATACTAATAAAAAACGCATCATTGTAAGCCCATTATATTTTGTTTTAAATCAAAATCTTTCTTTTGACAAAAATGAATTTGCGCTAATTTCATAAGCCTTTGAGTATGAGCTTAAATGCCTTGAGTATACTTTTTTTGACACTGTATGCGTTTAGTTGCCTTGTACATAATTTTCTGAGATTGTCATAGACTTTATGAAACATAAATTTGCACATGTTTTTCAGTTAAAAAAATATAACACCATCGTACGATATCGAAAACAACTTATGGTTCGATCTGTAAACACTGCTGAATTATTAAATCACAACAAACCGTGTCCTAAATAACGAAGAAAATATCGGTCAACCGAGTTTCGCACATATTTTAGCTATAGTTTTACGAAAAATTATAAATTGTGTTTATATATTGCCTTAATGAGCAAAATTATACGTAGAGTGGTTAGAATAGGATAATATGCAAAGCTTCTTTTGTTTAAATTAGAAATATATTTTAAAATATAGCTAGAAAAATGTTTTTCCACAACTTAAAATAAAATATTATTATAGATTTATGTTGTACAAAATCCGTGACCAGACCGAAAACGCCTGTAAAATGAATGTGCTTTGATTCTTGTTCTAACTACTTGAAGTACTGTGTAATTATTATTTTTCAGCCTCACCGTGACAATATAATATATATGGTTTTTTACTGTACCGCACAAATTAATCCCAGCTCTTTTAGTTCAAAAACAAAACTATAGAAACCGTTAAAAAAAACCAACCACGAACGTTTTTCAGTGATATTGCAAAAAATAATGAGCTATAAAAACAATTATTTTTACAATAATTAAATTATAAGAAAAACTTTTTTGCCGACATAATCCGCGTACTCGTCATCGAAGCTATATATAGGTATAATAATATAAATTGGAATGAAGCATATTAAAAGTCTTGTCTGGGTACTAGCTGTTGATCACTGCCGACACTGTACTGTATGTGTACAATATAATAGTAATAATAATATACAGGGTAATCCATCTGTTGTAAGACACTCATTTTCACGAAAAATATGAATATTTTGTAGGTTATTCTCCCCCCCCTTCTTGTAGGTACATTTTTTACTATATTTTTCAACACACGGAAAATTGTTAACATCATCCCATAATAATATGTGGGTAATATGACTAGCTACTTTTTTTTTATCAAATGCAATCACATATTTTCAAATCGACGCATGGGTAGTAAAAAAAACTAAATTTTGAAATTGTCGTTTGACTTATGACTTTCTAAAAATTTGATCAATATTTGTTCGGTTTTTTAAGACAGTAGTTCAGCGGGTTCGATTAAACAATAACATTGACACTGTCACCGATAACCAGACATAAATATCAATAGTTGGACATTTTTTTTATATATTATATGGATAAGCGATTTTACACCTTCCTGCTTTGAGATAATGATAGACGAGCGGTTCTTATCTACCTATTCAAACACAGTGACGGCTACTAGTCTAAGTAATAACAAAGAATAGATGAAACTTGAAAGGTCACTTTCAATGTACCGAAAAAAAAGTGACGGCGATTTTGTGACAGACTATTTAGTATTATAATAATATGTTTTATCTAAACACAGCAATTAATAATAATAATGTATGGATATAACATTGTAGTGGTGTTGTCTTAAGAATATGGCCGCCGCGTTATTGTGTGAATAATTGTTTAAAAATGTTTGTCTACATATTTGAGAAATATAAAACCATATGTTCCCATTTGAAAAAAACTAAGTCCATACTTCTTTTACGTGTAAGGTGATGAAGATAGCAATTTTCTAAGTATTGGAAAACGCGTGTCTACCTGCATAGGCGCAATTTCGATAACAAAAATTGACGGTGCTTAAGCTCTGCATTTGCCATGAATTTAAATTTGAATTTGAATGAATGAGGTTAATGTTTTTTTGAGCAAGGATGTAGTCTACAAATTGTTTACTCAAGGATGTTGTATAGTAATTTATCATTTAACACTTTAGTTTATTAGCATTTTAATTTTATAACAAAAACTAAAGAAAATATATGCAATATTACATTTTACAGGTATTTTATACAAGAGTTATATGCTTTGCTTTTTCTGCAGATATGTCAATAATTTTGTTTATGTTAATTAAATTTGTCATATACCTTTTTCCATTTATGGTATTGGGCAAATCTGTAAGTCTGTCTTGTCTCATTGAAACCCTAAGCCAAATCTTTATTTTTCTTGTGCTTATTTTTAAATTAGAGTGCTAATACCCCCTAAGCAATCCCACACCTTGCGGCTATGCCTACCTACAAGTATGGGGGAAAAGGTTCACATTTTTCCAGAAAACAAGTGTCTTACGACAGATCACCCTGTATACACACGAGGAATCTTCAGGTCGACCGTCTTTCATGCCGATTGACTCTCAGCCATAATCTATATATGGTTAATTAGCGTGTGTTGGCCTAACGAACATGCAACTATAGGTACCGCTAAGATCCGACTACAACACAGCCGTCATAATTGGTACAATCATTTTCGAACTGGACCGCGGTAGTGGTTAGCGGTTAGCACGCCACGGTCAAACATTTTGTTATTATTATTTCTGATACACATAATTACACTGTGGCAGTTTTTTTTTCTTCCATATAATAATAACTAATCAATAGAAAACCCCGTTATGTAATGCGTTTAATGCGTTAATCTCGACATTTTAACTGCACTGGTTTTATAATGATGTGTGTGTGTTTTTATTTGTTGTGTCTGAAGACGCGATAACGTTTTTGCTCGAGTCGCATACTTTTTATTAATACCCTTAAAAAGGTGAAAAAAGCAAAAAGTTCACCGCTAAAAATCCAGCAAGATACCCATTTTTAAAATTACATTAAAAACAAACGTCTAATCACTTGCAAGCTTTTATGGAATATTATTTGGATAACATTGTACTACCGATGTAAGTATAATTTTTTGTTCAATTTCAGAAAAACGATTCACCATTACTACTTTAAAACAATACAATTTCTAACTCATAATACCAAAACAAACACGACATAAGTGTCTTCAAGATTCAAGATGGATGTTGGCACCGACACATTATGCTTGGACTATAAAAGTCATACAGAACATTTGCTAGATTTTGCTAGAGGCAAAATAAAAGTTGTATTAGAAAAAAAAACATAATTAATATTAATGTCCACCAAAGCACACATGAGGTATTTAAAAAACAATATCGATGAGCCAATTTAAAACGACCCCTTCGAAGAATATAATAGTATGCTTTAAAAACACAATTAAATACATCAAGTACCTGCTATAATATCTACAAAATATGCGTTGTAATTTGTAAACAATGTAATAATTTATAAAAATAACATAACCGGGTGCATGCAATATAATATATTGAATATAGGTGATATATTTTGTGAATGTCAGGGCAGAACTGAAATAAAAATGCTAAAAAAGATAATCAAATTCTTCGCTTATATATATATTTTTATAATACGACTACTCACGCTAGAGAAAAAATGGAAGAACCCCACGTGGTCCTATTGGCGGTCATCGATAAACAGATTGCTGTCTTAAAGTTATTCACAGTTCACACGTGTTCGGTTATTTATTTGTTTATTATAATTTTGTGTCGAGCGGTAACTAAAAAACCGGTTTCCATTGAACTGTTTCGAATTTAAAGACTTCATTAATGTAAAAACGGCGATTTAATTTTATTGCATTATTATGGCGGTGAAAATCGAACGTCATACCAGTGTCGTTTGATATTTACCGTAATACATTTATATACATACATATTTTATGAACTCGTAGTCTGATGGTAAACTTCTCATTATCTGCCAAACTTCCCGGTTTGAAAATTCAAGATAAAAGCACATGATAACACTTTTAGTAGTTAAACAGTATGAACAGCAATAGGAACATATTTTAGCTCAAAACCAAAAAAAACTCTTACCGACAGACAAACCGGGCCCAGACAGTTTTTGTCAATTTAAAATCTAGATCTAGTAGTGCAACGGAAATCATGGAGATCATAAAGGGGTGGGGTGGTGGTGGAGAAGATATCAAACTGTCTTGGCGGTTGTTATTTATCGGTGTGTGTGTGTGTGTGTACATTCTCCGAATGGCGAAAACACAAGTACACGAGTGTGTACTCATCACATGTCTTCAAAGTCCTTTTACAGAGAGTTCAACAAACGCTTTGTCGCTAAAACCACCAATTATGGCGACCATTGCAAATCAAACAATAATATATCGGATCTCGACGACGATGAGACGGTGCGGGAAAAAAAATACATCCACCAGAAACACATATTATACCTATAGCAATAATATAAGAGTACAGGTAGGTATTGTGGTTATCCAACACGCGTTTCGTGTCACGACCCGTTTGCCCGAAGAGAAAAAAAAAATACATGTACTGTTTTTTTACCGTTTTCACCTAATTATAAAATGTCGAAAACCAGAGAAAGAAAAAATGAAGCAAAACACCATTATATGAAAGTCGAAATCTGCGCTTTTTTTCTTTTTTCTTAACGAAGACGACACCGCGCCGAGGTCGTGTCTAAGGATTTTATAAACACGGTAATGCTATGATAATTTAAACGGCGATTTGGCATAAACGATTGTGTGCATTCGAATAGCTGCTCATGACGTGTCTGCATAATAATAATTTTATAGAAAACGTTTACCTACATTCTACCCGTAGCGGCTATATTATTACATTTATTAAATACATTAATATTACTGTATACGAAAAAAAAGTCTTAAAGTTCATAATTAACATAAAACTAGTAGTTACTACAAATTGATTAGATTACATATGAATAATTTAATAAATCATTACATAATATTGTTGAGATGACCGTTTGCAGACTACTTGGTCGGGTGAATAATGTATACACACACATACTAAAAAACACCTTAAAATTTGTAGACCTTATTAAATATATCTAAATAAATATCTATTATTAAGTAAATATTGCCCGCGGGGGTAAAGGGGATTGTACAAATGTAAATAAACGATGGCTAATGAGGGGAAGTCATGTGACCAACAGTTCCCTCTCGTTGGTTCTTTATTTATAAAATTTAAAAAAAAAAGCGTTAAAAGAAAAACATGGTTAAACTTTTGAAGATAATATTATCTATATTATATTATATTATTACTATGGAAATTTCTTGTAGTGTCAATATCAGTCAATCACCCTTAAAATCGGGAAACCCCAAAAAATTTGATAATGATTGGATATATTTTATACATGGGGCATTCTAAGTCATCAGCCCGACCTCCTCAACATTTTTCGACTTTTTTTTTGAACTTATTTTAGTCTAATAAGACCTTTATTTTTTTGAAATTTGTATTACTCATATTTACCGCCAAAAATGTGGTTTTTTAAAGTTATTTTTCACGAAAAATCAATTTCGACTAGTTTTAAAATTCTGAAATTTTTACATAAAATTAGAGTCTAAAATCAAATGTTTTCGTCTAATAACGGACATGGGCCGAGATTTATTTATTTTTTAAGAATGTATTATTTTTACTATTAAACGCTTGTACTGTAAGTTTGTAATGTACTGCCATAATATGGCGGTGGAGATTGTCAGTTACGAATTACTTTACTTTGTTTTTCTATAAATTAACTTTTTAAGATATTCCTACAGTACTTATCTCGACCCTTACGAACATGTGACTGACACCGCTGTGGGTTTAACACACTCATGTAAGTTCAACCCAGAAAGTACACACCAAGCACAGTATGAACCAGCACAGTAAGCAAGTATTAAAGTGAGGTGCAGTGTCCCCAAATTCGCATCGAAACGTTTATTTGAAAGTGATTTTATTACTTTCAGTTCTTGAAACCCTGTGAATCACCGTCGTCCCCACTATGCCCCGGCCACACTGTACTGGTTTTTTTACATTCGAGGTGTGAGTCATTGAAACACATTATTTTTTTCATATTAGCTTATCGCTTTGTTTACAAGGTATATAGGCCATATTTGTTTAAAAAAAATTGTTTACGATTTCCGAACAACTTGTATTTGATTTTGTGTACCTATTCAAATGTTTGAACAGTTTTCTTGAATGGCCGTAGGATCTTGATGTCCCAATAATTATAGTTAATAACTTTATTCAGACTTAAGTCCTGTACTACTCGTAAAAAAGGGAAATAAAGAAATTGATTTTGTTGACTTTGTAATAACAATAATTAGTCTCGGTGGCTAACGAAGTTGGGGTGTGGGACCAAATGAGCTAAGCCCCTCTTATTGACTTTCTTTTTATACACAACTTGTTAAATACTACACTTGGGAATGTGAGTAGATTTAATTAAAGGTACAATTGGCATTCGAATTTCATACAAAATCTTCCTTACCGGCATCCCAAACCACTAAAAATATTTTCACAATAATAACAAATCAAAATTGTATTGTTTTTAACATTATGGCAAAACATTTTTCGATTTTGAACAAAATTAATCTTGGATAGTGGCAATGTTTTTAAACAAATATTTTTGAGATTTTGGTGTGAAATAGTAGTCCTGGCAAGCTGTACTTGTAACCTGACTTAAGTCAGTCTTAGACCAAGTATTGTACGGATGGTTTGCACTTGGCTACAATTATCAACTGATTAGTATCTCCCATCGTCGATTGTCAATACAATAAACAATTGCGAGTCTGTGTATTTTATCAACGCGGTATTATGTTATAATAGTGTCTACATTATCGAGCAAATCCGTTCCACTAAAAAATTACAAGTATAAAACGTATTGTACGAAGAATAAAGTATTAGTTAAAAGTATGAATTATTTGAATACCTGTTCGAAAAGCGAAATCGATCATGTAGAAAAATGCGGTCGAATATATTTTAACGTTTTTTAACATAATATTAAAAAATAGCTTGTTATAAATATCAAGATATTTTTTTACCTTTATTAATTTACACGGGATGAGCTAAATAAAACGAAAACGGCCGCGCGTTGTTATATTAGATATTAGTTATTATATTATATATTAATGGTGTTATATTATTATTATACAGTGCCAAACCAAGTGAGAAAATTGTCGATTGACACCACCTTATTTGTGTTACTTTCATGCGAACACAAAGGTGGAATTGATAGAACGAAATATGCATTTTTTGTTATATTTATATATATATATTATTATTTTGACTCGCAATAAAGATGACTACTGACAATTGATTCGGTTGATTAGACATTTATTACTATGTCTCTAGAAATTTTTCAATTAGTTGCCTATCCTAAGACCACCGCTGTCTCTTACAGAGAAGACATTTTCAGGTGACAAACATTTTTCGTCCTATAAACAAATTTAGCTGAATCGTTTGAGTGGTTTGTTTGTACACACACAAAAACGTCAACTTTATATTATATTTCTATTACAGTCCAATAAACTTGTTTTCAGTCGGTCTATTCAATGCAGCGACCGCAAGTTATAGTTAGGTTGGTGTAAATATTATTATAAAAACATTTCTTTCACTTTTTTTTTATTTATTTGTTATTACATTTAATTAAACGGTTAGAACGTACTTTATATGATTTTCCATTTCGACAACTCCTAATTATTATTTTTATATCCATTAATAAAATAATAATCCAACACAACTGCAAATGAAAGTATCGCGGTCAGTGTCGTTCCCGCCGTATAGGATTTGTACACAATACTTAAGTGTTAATATATATATATATATATATATATATATATTATACACCGTCAGAGGTATAGACTGTAACTAATAGCATCATTGCTAATAGCTATTATGTGTGTACCTAAATGATTTACTCTCTCATCTGTCCCTCATATATCCATTGTATGTGTACAAAAATAAACGTGTTCACGCTTGTAGATTTGATCAGACCTTAATACCTACCGTAACTACTTGAAGTGATCTATTTTGATGGAGATGGAAAACAATTATCCAGCGAGCGGATTAACTATTGTGATACGGCAATATACATTAAACGCGAATTACTAAACACATAATAACAATATGTCGTCCAATAATAATAGGACAACAAAAGATGCACGTTTCTTGAGCCAAAGTGTTTAGCAAAATCCCAAAGTATGCGTTTTTTTTTGTCCTTGTGAAATATCAAGGAGGCGAGCCAGAGGTTGTGTGCATTCTATGTGATCCTGAATGTATTAAAAACCCTGTGTCTGTGAGTTGTTGACTGTTGTCCCTTTTATTATGCACAAGTAGTTCTGGCAGTGCAACAAATAGTTTATTGAGACATTAAAGAATCTACAGCTACTTGAAAACATAAAATGTTTTATAATATTGTGTTAGAAATATACGGTTGCATATGTTTTGCTCCGTGTATATAGTCGGTCAGGCAACACAATAAACACCTACAGTATTTTTTTTAATTGGAGATCTGTTGTGATCATAATTCATATAATATGATAGTATAACTTCTTTCACGCTGCACACTTGTGTTCATAATAGTAGTACCATTTTCTTCGAACGCGGTTATTAAGAAATTACAACCTAAAATGATCTCTCATCATTACTATCTTAGGACATATCCAAAAACATATCCATAATTCAATTGTTTTCCTTGTAACGAAGAAAATTTACATTTTTCATTTTTATTATATCAGAATATGATAAAACCTTTGTGTTTACTAGTAACTACAATTTTAACTCTGAATTATCATTAAAGATATATTATTTGGAATATAAGAGGGAAAAAATCGAATTTTTTTAAAACATATAAAATAGGTTAGCTATTTTATCGTTTAAATGACATACATAATCCATTTATCAAAATGTTGTAATACAAACATTACTACTACGAACGATTGTAAACCCAATATTTGAAAAATACAATGGTTTAAACTATGTTTCACACTTATATAAACAAGTAAACGTCATACAATATATTTGCATTCTGCAAAACTTCGTTAGATTTTATTGTCTTGTTAGTTAACGAATCGCCAGAAAATCACTTTAAACCGGTTGCTGTGACATAGACGTTCATAAGAGTTTTACCATAACTTCAAAAATCGCTAGTGAGTATTAACAAAAACATTTTTATTAAGTTTTTCTAAAATTTAATTTATTTTTTATTTTGGTGCTTGGATTTGCAATACATTTTTACCCGCTGGCTGATTTCATTTAAGAATATATTATAGAAATTGTACACCGTTTTCGCGTAGCATGTCTATAGACCAGAAATCGAATCTAAATTTTGCCTCATTTGGCCCAATATCTAAAAAGTTCACATTCCAAATTAGGAAAAGCAGATATTTTTTATAAATTTAAAAGCCCTTTAAATGTATACATTTTAAATTTTCAATTTTATTACCGCTCTGTAAGTATCATTATTTAAAACAATCAAAAAAATTCCAGATTTCTATGAATTATTCTTTAGTTTGATACAGTGCGCGTTCAATTAAAAACCCTTTATAAACTTCATGTAAAATATCGTTAAGTAAAACCATAGCAGTTGTGATATCAATTATTTAGGGGCTAAGTAATGTCATGCATAATTGTATTTTAGCTTTGACGCGGAGCTGAGATATTGTTTTTCCAATGATGTGTTTTTTTATTTGTGTTTTTGAACATTTGAATTTGCTTGCTTGATAATACCATATTGTTACAAATAAGCATTACAGCGAATGCAAATTTTGTAAAAAAATAACACTTAAACAAATGTTTTTTTCACATACATATTGCGCGTTGTTTTTTACATATTGCTTAGTTAACACATTTTTTGTCATCGTGTTCAAAGTAAAACCATAGCAGTTGTGATATCAATTATTTAGGGGCTAAGTAATATCATGCATAATTGTATTTTAGCTTTGATGCGGAAGTGAGGTCTTGTTTTTACAATGATATTTTTTTTTATTTGTGTTTTTGAACGTTTGAATTCTGCTACCATATTGTTACAAATAGGTATTATAGCGAATACATTTTTGTTAAAAAACAAAAAATAACAAATTTAACTAAAACTAAAAGTATCCAAATGTCTTTTTTTATGTACTTATTGTACCTAATCTAAGTGCAGGCATATTATTATTTTATGTGTAACATTTTATAAAACATAAGACATGATGAATATAGTTGATACCTAGTTTACCGAGTGTATTTATAATTAATTGTCAACTAATAAAATGTCTAAAACAAAAAGCTTTTATGTTTATACTTTTTTGCAGATAAAAATGAATCATTTTTGTTTTTTGATACCACTCGTCTTTGTTAGTGTTTTAGCAGATAATCTAAGTAACTATTATTTCATTTATTTTCACACAAGATAATTAAAATTCAATGACTAACTTTTTTACAGTGACCTATAAGGAGCAGGTTTCCAAAACAAGTCAGTATTTTTTTTATCATACAAATTTAACTATGTTTTTATGTTTGTATATACTTATTTTAAATAATTTATTACAGACAAAATAATCGCGAGTGCAGAACGTAAGAAGTATTTTAAATTAATATACTAACACGTAATACTTATTGTTTTGTCAAGTTTTCCTGAATATCAGATGATTTATAAATTAATAATTATAGCTTCTAAATTCTGTTCAGATGAAGAGTGCACAAAATGTATAGTTTCGGTGTTTTAATCACTTTGTAAATACTTTATGTAGCATTTTCTGTAATTTACTTAAAGCACGCTTAGCTATAGAAATTGATAATATTTAGCTTATCTAGGGTGAAAAATGTTAAATGGTCCACACTTAAAACATGGTGTAACTTGTTTTATGTGTCAATCCATTTTTTATTTGTTTCAGCTGTGATGCATGAAGTACTTAGAAAAATTGCTCGTGAAAATGAATCGATGGGTAGTTATAACTATTATTATATAACTCAAAATTAATAAAGCTTAGAAAACAGTTTTTTGAAAGTGATATACAAACTTCAACATAGATTTACTAGTACGCAAATTTATCAGTGATGCATCGTCGCTTAAGCGGCAACAACGAATGTCTCATTTTTTTAGCCGAATTAAGTTGGTAGAACTGTTCGAAATTTCGTAGGGAATTAGTTTGCGGGCTCAGATAACCATGTAAAGTCAATACATGACGTACTATTCGAGTAATTTACAACATAGTTGTTATGTTATTGAATGATAGTTGAAATTGATTTTTTGCTCTCCTGTAACTAATCAATTTATTTTATGTAAATTTTAGAAAAACTAGTTATGATGTTTGCTGTACCGGGTAATAATAGTTAAAATAATTTTTATTAAAATGTATTTGCACATAGTTGTTTAATATGAAATACATCATGTATTCGTTTTAATTCCAGATAGGGCAGACATTGAAAACGATTTGAAAAGTAATTATTACTCTTATATAGTTACTCTTTTATATTTATAGTGCTTTACATAGCCATATGTGAATAAATTATACAAATCTAGTTTTATTATATACTAATATATTAATTTCTATCTTAAAAAAATATGAACATTAAAATAAATTATTTTTTTTTTTTAATTTAGAACATTTAGAATACGAAGCTGAACTACAAAAAGAAATTACCGCCGCCCTAACACCAACGTCCTATATACCTAGTATATCTATACCTGGTGTAAATTCCTATATACCTGATGTAACGTCATATATACCTAGTATACCTAAAACTAATTTTTTAGGCAAGTATAATAATTTGTAAATAAACATTTTCAAAAATAATAGTTATTTATTTTTAAACAAAAACGATGAAAATTCGATTCGAGTTCAAAGTCTTTAAGTTATATTATAATTTTTTTACTAAAAAATTACTTTTTTTACTTATTACTGTTTTTATTTACTGTTTAATTATTTCATATTTTTGTTACAGATACCATTCCTGTTAAAACAATGGGAGGTAATTAACCATTTATTTGTTGGTCGTAAATAGCCATAATTGTGTAACTTAATAATTATACATTTATAATGTTATGCCATTAAAATAATATTATAAATTTGAAATAATATTTGTGCTAATATTTATAGGTCCTTAATAACTTCTTACAAAAATAAAATAAAGATAAAAGTGCTAAAAATAGATGAATATTTCCCCATGTTTTATTTATTCAAATAATTTTATCAGTAATTTATTCGAATGTTGAATTTTGAAAATTTGTCTTATTTCTTGAAAAATGTGTACAAAGATTTTTGACTTGACGACCGTCTTAGCTTTTTGAGTTTTGACCGTCAATCAAGTCTTACATATATACGCATTATTTAGATAATTTCTTATCTGAATAATTTTTTTTATTCGGTTAATATTGGTATTCGAAGAAATCGTCTTAGATTTAATCGAATAAAAAGATTATTCAAATAAATTAGTTATTATTCATTTTATTTTCGAACTTATTATTTGTTTTTCTAGATACACTTAGTTCTGCATGGAGCCTCGTGGGTTATCCACTAGCAGGTAGTTGTTATATAATCATACAAAACATAAAAAGAAAGCTCATAAAACACAGTATTGAAAGCGATAGAAAAAATGCAGCGTGATATACCTCTATGCAAATTTACCAGCGATATACTGTCGCTTTGTATGTATAATATTTTGTCGCCAACACGGTTATTTATTATTTTTTGCAGATGTTCAACCTGACTCCGAGCTCTCAAAACTTGCAGAGGAGCGAAGATTACTAACTTCAAAAGTTCCGCAGTTTTTAATCGATACTATGTCATCGAGTAAATATTACCAACAAAAACCTAACAGTGAAAAAAGGCTAAGTTCCAGACCCCCTCCCAAAAATGTCAGCCTATCTAAGTAGTAATATCTACTTGTGGCCAAGTCTGCTATTTCTTTAGTTCATAACCTCACTTTACTCCTACTTTTATGAGCAACACAGCTTTGTTATTTGTATTGCTTAACACTTGTTAACAACAGTTTCTGAATGAGGCATAAAACAGCCTAGCCGCAATGTAGATAATAACTACGTAGATATGTATATATATATACAGGGTGTAATGTAAAGTTCTACCGAACTTCAAATGAGACATTCAGGATGCTCTATGGGTGCAATAAATGGTATTCATTTTTTTTTTTTTTTTTTAAATTATTTAAAATAGAACTCGTATATCATTATAAAAATGTCTTACTAAAAAAAAGATTTCAGATTTGAAACCGAGAGAAAAAATCTTGTTGAATTGATTTGTGACATGGTTTTTTGGTATCTGGCCACATTTGCGTCCGTCGAGTGGCCACTGAGTGGCCGGCATGTGACCGAAACCAACATATGGCAAGTGACACATTATTATCAGTTAGCATTTTATTCTCAATTCAGAGGCGTCCTTAGAATTATTTTATATTAAACTATGTGTCGCATGCCAAATGTTGATTTTAGTCACATGCCGGCCACCCTGTGGACGTATGTATGGCCAGATTTTTTCTCCCGATTTTAAATCTAAAATAATTTTTTTCGTAAGACAATTTTTTAATGAGATACGAGTTCTATTTCAAATAATTTTAAAATTAAAAAAAAAATTAACACCATTTATTGTACCCTAAGAGCATCCTGGATGTCTCATTTGAAGCTCGGTAGAACTTTACATTACACCCTGTATATATATACAGGGTGATCCAACTAACGTAAGACACTCATTTTCTCTAAAAATATAAATATTTTGAAAACAATTTTTTCCCTAAACTTTTAGGTACATATTTTACTACATTTTTCAATATTTTGAAAATTTTTATCACCAATCCTTATAAGCCAAAATGGGGGATTTTTGTTTTTTTTTTAATGGCAACATATGTTTTTAATTACATAAGTTTGTAGACAAAAAATTAAAAATTATGTTAGCGTTTGAGTTTTGAATTTTCATTTATTTTTCATTTTTGATGACTTTATAAAGATTTGATTTTTTGACTGTATTTCTTAATATTTTCAATCGTTACTACAAAGACGAGTAGTTTTATTACATTGCGTACAAATAATTTGGCATGTTACCGTACTCTGTACCATAATCAGATATAATAAATAACCTATAATCTAAGTAATCTGTAGATAAGAACCTTTGTCTATTTCAAAATCTTTTATAGTGAATTCCTAGTTGTTAGAATGTTATCGCCAATTGGACAATGCGAACATAAATATGAATTTGATGTGCTACCGGTTTTGGACAAACCGAAGAAATATGATTATTATTAAGAGGAAATGTAGTATCTTAACAAAGTCATAACTAATGAACAGTTTAATAAAAATAAAAAAATTTAATGCTAACACATTTTTAAATTTTTTGTCTACAAATTTATGTAATTAAAAACATATGTTGCCATTTAAAAAAACCAAAAATCCCCTTTTTTGGCTTATAAGGATTGGCGATAAAATGTTTTAAAATATTAAAAAATGTAGTAAAATATGTACCTAAGAGTTTAGGAAAAAAATTGTTTTCAAAATATTTATATTTTCAGGGAAAATGAGTGTCTTACGTTAGTTGGATCACCCTGTATATATATATATATATATATATTTCACTTTGTAGTGAAGCTATACATTTATACAAGTAGCCACTATGAATCTAGTTTAGTATTATAAACGAAACCTAAACGTTTAGGTGTACAATTACACTTTATAATAGACCACGTGACACGCGTAACAGGAACAAAGAATACTGCTACACTGCCATGCACGTGAACACGAATGACGTGGGCATCAACAGCGCCCTGTACCGGCTGTAGCGCGGCAAAGGTCATTAATCCCCACCTAGCGCATTAATTTTGAGAAAATTGCAATTTTCATATTTTTCCCTTTACTTACACTATGAGACCCACCTTTGTGCCAAATTTCACGTTTCTACCTACACGGGAAGTGTCTTATAATTTTGATGATGAGTGAGTCAGTGGGTCAGTAACAAAAATTAAAATTTTGAAATCCTCCCATTTTAAAACACCTAAACATTAAGGTCTCAATATTACACAGTGTCTTAAACTATCTAAGCGAATTTCAAAAGACTATCTTAAGAAGTAGCAGAGATATGAGAGTTAGAAATACCGGGTGAATTGGTTCGTGTAAAGATACACTGGCATTGCTGGAACTTGGCCGGCGCACTGCCGTGCGCTCAGTTATAAAATTGTTGACTGAGAGTAACATAGCTGTACAATACGGACAATCTGTATACTACACTTATGTATGTGCACTAGTTACGTTTTGCACATTAAATAAAATGTAGTAACTAGAAAGTTAATTTTGGAAAAAATTTTAAATGAACCTTTTTTATATTTTAAGATCGAGTGGATAAAGATATCAAGAATAAACCCATGATATGTCGTTTAGTAGCATTGGCTCATACTATGAATCTTTGGCCAGATCCATACATAATAAAATCTACATTGACTGGTAATGTTTGTCAGCTAACTTCTATAGAAGACAGTGTTGTGGCAGTTTCGGCAAATATACGTTAACAGAAAGTAAACATCATTAATAGTAAAAAGTATTCAAAGTTGCTTCTCAGTTATTATATTTTAGACAAGGAATCTCAGAGATAATACATTACAAATTATACAGCACTATTGTTATTCTATTAAAATAATTATTCCAAACCGCACTTTCCTCCTAAAATTTTTAAATGTAATGTGTTTTTTTTTTAATAAACAGTTTTGCTTATGGTTATAATCATATTAGTTGTTTTTTACCTATATTCCTACAGGTTGTATTCGAAGTGATAATGAAAATAGTATTTACAGGCATGATCTGTTTATACTGATTGTCAAAAAATAATATATAGGTATAATAGTATTAGGTTGTGAAAGAAAAAAACACTGGTTTAAAATATAAAGTATCCGGTACTTGTATGATTAAATCTTGTTCGGTAGTATTATTAAAGTTTATTTTAAAGTAATATCATCACTTTCAGTCTAAATAACTCATTTTGCCGTGTGACTTTGCAACACCACACTATACTACATAACAACAACAATACATCACTGTATTTTATATGACATTAAATAATAATTAAACGTCATAATGCACATGAAATAAAAATTATGTACCTATAAAGAAACTCTTTAAAAACTTGGGCGACTACAATATAAAGTATTCCATAATGCAGTACACTACATAATCAGTATGGGGACGCACGGTGGAAATTCCGAGAAATAAAAATTGGCAAAATTTGCTTTCGCGTCTAAAGTTTCAATAAAATATTGATAGAAAATATTATGTACTAATCAGTATTAATGTATTTATGTATTAACAGTTCATTAAATAATAACATTATGGATACATCTCTTGATATTATATTTTTATTGTTAACTCAAAGCACACTACTTTATTCAAAGGCAATGTAATTCGGTTTAATTGTTTAATTTAGTTCTTGTTCTTTAATTTTCTTGAACATAAGGCAAAACTCCGGTTTCCATTGAATATAAGAGGCTTTGTCTTTAATAAATTTAATTTCAATTTACGTTCAGGATATCGTAGGTCTAGATAAAAAAAAATAAAAACACATTGTGAGAACAATAACTCCTCAGCTCCGCATCAAAGCTAAATTAGAGAGAAATAAATTACAGAAACGGACGAACAAATTGGCTCGATTTTCTTAAAAAATCCGAGTAAAAGAATGACTAATTTAAAAAAATTCGACTTTTGCGCAAAAATGCGCTGAAAACCTGATACATAGTCTGATACAGAATTAAAATACCTATCTAATGGTGAAAGAATTGCTCTGGCCTATTGTGGCCATATGTTACTTTTTTGAAAAATTGCCCAAAATTGCTTTCGCGTCTAAAGTTTCAATATAATATTGATAGAAAATATTACGTACTAATCAGTATTAATGTATTTATGTATTAACAGTTCATTAAATAATAACATTATGGATACATCTCTTGCTATTATACTTTTAACTCTATGATTTGGCTTTGTCGAGAAGCCCAGAGGGTGAACACTTTCAAAATTTAACACTGTTGTTGTAAACATTTCTGTAAACCTGTGACCTTCCCGTCCCCACTATGCCCCGACCCCACTTTACTGATTTTTTAAACTTTTATTGTACCAGAAAATGATATAACCTTTGTGCTTACTACAATTTAAACTCTGAATTATCATTAAAGATATTTTATTTGGATTCTAAGAGGAAAAAAATTGAATTCTTTTAAAATATAACTTAGATAACGCTTCGATTGTAAAACCATTGCATTAAAAAGACAACAGTTTAAAATATGTTTCACACTTATATAAACAAGTAAACATCGTACAATATATTTGCATACTGCAAAACGTCGTTAGATTTTACAATTTTGTTAGTTAACAAATCGCAAGAAAATCACTTTTAAACGGTTGCTGTAACATAGGTGTTCACAAGAGTTTTACCATAACTTCAAAAGTTGCTAGTGAGTATTTAATACATTTTTTATTAAGTTTTGGTGCTTGGTTTTGCAATAAATTTTTAACCGCTTAGCTAATATTATTTAAGACTATATTACAGAAACTATTCACCATTCTATTCGTGTAGCATGTCTATAGATCAAAATCGAACCTAAAATGTGCCTCATTTGGCCCAATATCCATAAATATTACATACAAAATCAGGAAAAACAACCAAAAAAATATGCATGTTTTTCAACTTAAATTAACATAACGCAAAATGTTTGTAAAAAAGCAGATATTTATTTAAAAATTAAAAGCCCATCGAATGTATACATTTAAAATTTTCAATTTTATTACCGCTCTGTAAGTATCTTTATTTAAAATAATTAAAATAATTCCAGATTTCTATGAAATATTCTTTAATTAGATACAGTGCGCGTTCAATTAAAAACCCTTTATAAACTTCATGTAAAATATCGTTAAGTAAAACCATAGCAGTTGTGATTTCAATTATTTAGGGGATAAGTAATATCATGCATAATTTTATTTTAGCTTTGACGCAGTGCTGAGGTATTGTTTTTCCAATGATGTGTTTTTTTATTTGTGTTTTTGAACATTTGAATTTGCTTGTTTGATAATACCATATTGTTACAGATAGGCATTACGGCGAATACAAATTTTGTAAAAAAATAACACTAGAACAAATGTTTTTTTTACATATTGCTTAGCTTACACATTTTTTGTCATCGAGTTCAAAGTGTAATAATAAATGTATCGGTAGCTTTTGTGTAAACACAAGATTTAGGTAAACCTGAACGTATCCAAATGTATATTTAAAACATGAAAAGATGAATCATGGCGAATGTACACATTATATTGTGTACTTTTACATACAGTCTGTAGTTAACAGATGTATTACTACTGTCAAAATGAATAATAACTCATTGACAGTGATGATGTGAAACAGTTTATTTGTATAGTAAATGATTTAATTTGATTTTGTTTTATAGAAGAGGGCTAATCTTCGATTTACTAAAATTATAAAAAAAACAACATGTGACACTGTAATCAATTCATCTATATTGTTATGGATATAAGTGTCAAAATAGAATGTTTGTAACGGGTTGGTTCAAGAAAAACTTATCCGATTGACATGTTGAGTTTTCCAACCCATAGAACATATTATAATTTTATAACAAAATCCTTCTTAGTTCCGGATCAGAGCCTATATAATTAATTAACAACTAATATAAATGTCTAAAAAAGAAGTGTTTTTGTTTATAATTTTTTTGCAGATAAAAATGAAACGTGTTTGTGTTTTGCTACCACTGGTCTTTGTTAGTGTTTTAGCAGGTCGCCCAAGTAATTTTTATTCAACTTATTTTCACACGAGGTAATTAAAATTTAATGACTAACTTTCCTACAGTGTCCTATGAGCAAAAGGTCTATAGCACAAGTCAGTAATTTTTTTTTATCATACAAATTTTAACTAAATGTTTTAATATTTATATATACTTATTTTAAATAATTGATTACAGACATAATAATCGCGAGTGCAGAACGTAAGATGTATTTTAAATTAATATACTGCCACGTAATGTTTATTGTTTTGTCAAGTTTTCCTGAATATCAGATGATTTATAAATTAATAATTATAGCTTCTAAATTCTGTTCAGACGAAGAGTGCACAAAATGTATAGTTTCAGTGTTTTAATCACTTTGTAAATACTTAGTGTAGCATTTTCTGTAATTTACTTAAAGCACGCTTAGCTATAGAAATTGATAATATTTAGCTTATCTAGGGTAAAAAATGTTAAATGGTCAACAATTAAAACATGGTGTAACTTGTTTTATGTCTCAATCGATTTAATTTGTTACAGATGTGTTTCCCCAAGTAATTAGAAAAATTGTTCGTGAAAATCAATCGATAGGTATTATCGATAACTATTATTATATAACACAAAATTAATGAAGCTTAGAAAACAGTTTTTTGAAAGTGATATACAAACTTCAACATAGATTTACTTGTGCGCAAATTTATCAGTGATGCATCGTCGCTTAAGCGGCAACAACGAATATCTTTTTTTTACCGAATTAAGTTGGTATCACTGTTCAAAATTTCGTGGGGCATTAGCTTGTGGGCTCAGATTAACATGTAAAGACAATGAATAACGTACTATTCGAGTAATTTCCAACATAGTTGTTATGTTATTGAATGATAGTTGAAATTGATTATTTGCTATCCTGTAACTAATTCATTTATTTTATGTACATTTTAGAAGAACTAGTTATCATGTTTGTTGTACCGGGTAATAATAATATTTCTTAAAATGTAAGCTCGTATTTGCAAATAGTTGTTTAATATTAATTACAAAATGTATTCGTTTTAATTTCAGAAAAGGCAAATATTGAAAACGAACTGCTGAGTAATTATTACTCTTATATAGTTACTCTTCAACATTTATAGTACATTACATAGTCCATATGTGCATAATTTATATAAATATACTAATCAAATAATAATTTCTTTCTTAAAAAATATGTCCATTAAAATGAATGACTTTTTTTAATAAAATTTAGAATACTTAGATAACGAAACTGATCTGCAAAATGATATAACCGCCGCCCTAACACATGTAGGTAAGTATAATAATTTGTAAATAACCAATTTCAAAAATAATAGTTATTTATTTCTAAAAAACGATAAAAGTTTGATTTGAGCTCAATATCTTGAAGTTATATTATTTTTTTATTAAAAGTTTTGATAATTGTTTGAAAAATAATTATTCCAATGCTTAATTATTATTATTTTTAATAATAAGTCTACATAAACTCAGTTGTAGATAAATGTTATACAGTTATATAGTATATAACTTCATACAAAAATAAAATAAAGATAAAAGTACTAAAAATAAATGAATATTTTACTATGTGTTATTTATTCAAATAATATTGCCAGTAATTTATTCGAAAATATTTTGAAAGTTTTTCTTGTTTCTTGAAAAATGTTTGACTAAACAACCGTTCTAGCTTTATGAGTTTTTACCGTTAATCAGGTCTTACATACACCCTCATTATTTAGATTTTTTATCAAACTAATGTTTTTATTCGGATGACATTGTTATTAACCGTTGTTCGAATAAAAAATGCCCACTCTGCATACGTCGTCCAATAGCAGATAGTAAATTATATTAAAAATCGACATTATTTTCTTGCTGTTATCCGTTGGTGTTCTACTTTTTAAGAATGTGTCAACATTTATCATTAAATTATGGCGATCATTTTTTAATATTTATTATTTATGCCGATTTTATTATTCGGAGTTTTTTTTTTTATAGCTGAACTCATGCTATTTGTTTTTTATAGATAATTCTGCAACGAGCTCCGAGGGTAATCCACTAACAGGTAGTTATTATAATCATTAAAAAATATAAAAAGAAAGCTCAGAAAACACAGTATATAAAAAAATTGCAGCATTGATATAACTCTATGCAAATTTACCAGCGATACACCGTCGCTTTATAGGTATAATATTTTGTCGTCTAGACGGTTATTTGTTATTTTTTGCAGTTGATCCACCTAACTCCAATCTCATTACACTTGGACAAACGAGAAGATATCTGACTTCAGACATTCCACAACGTTTATTCGATACTATAGAATCAAGTAAATATTATATCGAATTGACAATTGTAATAGTTTAATCTATAGTAATATTATATATATATCAGTCATATTCTAGAAAAAATGGTTCGGATGAGTTTAAAAGTTCTCAGCACTTTAACTGACATAAAAAAAATAATATCTAAATTTTTTCGCAACGTTTTTACTGTTAACCCAAAGCACACTACTTTATTCACATGCAGGGCCCCAACAATGGGGGGGGGGGGTCAGTGAGTACTAGGGTCCCGGGGCCCGAGGAAAAAACAAAATATATACGTATTATTAATTTAAATTAGAAATATATAATGAGCGTGCCACCCCAGTCACTATATGTTTATATAATATTGGTATATAAATATTTTTATTTTTTACTATAATACATAATACTTTTTATAATACATAATTTTGTTTAACAATCTAATTGTAAATTATTTTTGTTTAATGAGATCGGCCACTTGACGTCGGTAGGACGGTAGGCGGGTAGGGCGTGCAGCGCAAGCATTTCTTGGAAAAAATAAAAGGGGAAAAAATCCGGGACGATAAAAGTAATAAGTCAGCCGCCTGCCTTAGTAGTGCTATATTTGGCGTTAGAAGATGATAATTCTTTTATCGACGACCTAAGTCAAAACAACCCGCGATCATAGCATACATTTTAGTTTTTACCCCAACCGTTAATCTCCCGAGTTGTGGCGGTAATATTGTGGTACTTTCTACAGGTGTATAAAAGCAATATAAGCTGTGTAACAAATATTTTAGGTACCTTATGAAAAATAAAAAATAAAATGTTAGAAATTATATTAAAATTATTATAAATACTAATGTATAATAAGGGCTCGGATTCATATACAGTACCGTACTTGAAAAATTCATGTGGGGGGCCTGTTCACATGCAATGTAATTCGGTTTAATTGTTTAATTTAGTTCTTGTTCTTTAATTTTCTTGAACATTAGGAAAAATTCTGGTTTCCATTGAAAATAAGAGGCTTTGTTTTTAATAAATTTAATTATGAAACAAACCATGGTTCGCTTTTTTTAAGTGTATTTTATACAATTTTGATGAATAGTATTATTGGGTGTACATCCATTTTGTCTGCATTTTAAAAACTTTTTGACTGAGAGTATGTGTGTACTAGTTATGTCTGTAGTTGTGTTTTGCACATTAAATAAATGTAATAATTAGAAACTTAAGTTTGGCAAATTTTTAAATAAACCTTTTTTATATTATTTTAAGATCCAGCGGATGAAGATTACAATAATAAACACATGATGTGTCGTTTAAAAGGATTGGTTAAAAGTCTAATTAGTCCAAATAGATATATAAAAGAATATGCATTGGGAGACACCTTGCCGTCATCGGATCAAGTATATTGTCATCTAACTACTATTCTTAACGATATTGAATGGGCGATAGTATGAAAGATAACTGCATAAGTAGTCGTTAATAGAAATTATAAATCATTAATAGTAAAAAGTATTCAAAATTGCTTCTCAGTTATTATAATTTAGACCAGGAATGTTAGAGATAATTCATTACTAATTATACAGCACTATTGTTATTCTATTAAAATAATTATTCCAAACCGCACTTTCCTCCTAAATTTTTAAATGTAATGTTTTTTTTTTTAATAAACAGTTTTGCTTATGGTTATAATCATATTAGTTGTTTTTTACCTATATATCTACAGGTTGTATTCGAAGTGATCATGAAAATAGCATTTACAGGCATGAGTCTGTTTACACTGATTGTCAAAAAATAATAGGTATAATGTATTAGGTTGTGAAAGAAAAAAAAAACTGGTTTAAAATATAAAGTATCCGGTACTTGTATGATTAAATCTTGTTCGGTAGTATTATTAAAGTTTATTTTTAAGTAATATCATCACTTTCAGTCTTAATTCACTCTAATTAATTTTGACCTATAACCTTGCAACACCCCACTGTACTGAATAACAACAACAATACATCATTGTCTTTTATATGACAATAATTAATTATTAAATGTCGAATTGCTCTTTAAGAACTTGGTCGATTACAATATAAAGTAGGTACTCTATATAATGCAGTACCTAATTATCCTCCTTATTATCTTCTCATTTATCAGTCAGATAATGTTATATCTATAAATTAACCGTGCTGGTTTGAATTGTGTTTGGTTTATACTGTGCTTGGTTTGGACCGTGTTGAGTTTAACTGTACCTTTTTTAATTGTTTTGTTTATTTTTATTTGGTATGTTTATTTGTTTTGTGATTATATAACAAGTCATACACTGAATTTCAAGATGTTAAACCTATATAAAAGTCTTCAAAATTTACGTGTTGACTAGAATGTTTTTTTTTTACACAACTTATAGAACTATGTTAAACCTATCTTCACTCTAATTTTCAGTTCTTAAAACTTACAATAGCACCTAAAAGTAGGTAGGTATAATAGTATTAGGTTGTGAAGTAAAAAAAAACACTGTTTTAAAATATAAAGTATCCGGTACTTGTATGATTAAATCTTGTTCGGTAGTACTATTAATGTTTATTTTAAAGTAATACCATCACTTTCAGTGTAAATAATTCATTTTGACCTGTGACCTTGCAACACCCTACTGTACTACATAACAATAATAATACATCACTGTATTTTTTATGACAATAAATAATAATTAAACGTCATAATGCACATCAAATAAAAATAGTATACTTATTAAGAAACTCTTAAAAAACTTGGGCTACTACAATATAATGTATTCCATAATGCTGTACACTAAATATACAGTGTGGGGGCGCACAGTGGGACAGATGGCCGATCTAGGTTGAACAAATTTGAAACTTATCCTATCTTATCAGAAATTTCACGCTGATCACGAAAATGGCATCGAGGTCGCACAGGACGTAAAATATCTTTTTTCTCAGTTTAGGCTTTAATAATCCAGTCGGAAACCAATATATCAGTACATACATATTGTACAATAATATTGTTTAAAGACATTGTATGTTTAAAGGAATTATTAGTTAGGTAAGGTTATTACATAAGTTATGTTAGACCGTTAATTACCCCATCAGTTTTCACTGGTATTGCCCCTATCAGACTATTTTTAATGTATTTAATTAAAAGCTGTAATATTTAGGTATATTATAAGAAAATAATTGCAATCCTTGCCAGTTTGTGATATATTAGGAACAGTCAATAACGTAAACAATTAGAAATGCCTAATTTGAGATGAGTTTTAATGTGGAAAAATATTACAACAAAAGTGATAAAAAAATTGATTATTATTTTTTGGTATGAAAAAAGTTGTTTATCATTTTGATACATCTGATATAAGGTTTTGGTAACAACAGTTTTTAAATTATGTGCTCATCTAAATTTTAGCTATCATATTTTAAGAGATATGCCATTGACCTGTATTACTACTGACTGATATTCCCCTATAAGTAATCTTAAATTTAAAAGAGTGTACATTTTTGGGTGGTTTTCTCGATTTTGAAGGGGAAGGGTTAAATTTTTAATTTTTCGGTCAAATAAAGTACCTTTCAGGTACGATCTCTGATCTATAGAGTTGCTACACGGAGAATCAGTTAAGAATATCGTGGGTCCAGATAAAAAAAAAATAAAAACACATTGTGAGAACAATTACTCCTCAGCTCCGCATCAAAGCTAAATTAGAGAGAAATCAATTACAGAAACGAACGAACAAATTGGCTCGATTTTCTTAAAAAATTCGAGTAAAAGAATGACTAATTTAAAAAATTCGACTTTTGCGCAAAAATGCGCTGAAAACCTGATAAATAGTCGGATAGATAATTAAAATACATATCTAAAGGTGAAAGAATTGCTCTGGCCTATTGTGGCATATGTTACTTTTTGGCAAAATTGCCCAAAATTACTTTCGCGTCTAAAGTTTCAATATAATATTGATAGAAAATATTATGTACTAATCAGTATTAATGTATTTATGTATTAACAGTTCATTAAATAATAACACTATGGATACATCTCTTGCTATTATACTTTTAACTCTATGATTTGGCTTTGTCGAGAAGCTCAGGGGTGAACACTTTCAAAATTCAACACTGTTGTTGTAAACATTTCTGTAAACCTGTGACCTTCCCGTCCCCACTATGCCCCGACCCCACTAAACTTGTTTTTTATAACGTTTTTATGAACCCACAATCTTGTTAAATTTTTTTTTTACCAGAAAATGATATAACCTTTGTGCTTACTACAATTTAAATTCTGAATTATCATTAAAGATATTTTATTGGATTCTAAGAAGAAAAAAATTGAATTCTTTTAAAATATAACTTAGATAACGCTTCGATTGTAAAACCAATGCATTAAAAAGACAACAGTTTAAAATATGGTTCACACTTATATAAACAAGTAAACATCGTACAATATATTTGCATACTGCAAAACTTCGTTAGATTTTACAATTTTGTTAGTTAACAAATCGCAAGAAAATCACTTTTAAACGGTTGCTGTAACATAGGTGTTCACAAGAGTTTTACCATAACTTCAAAAGTTGCTAGTGAGTATTTAATACATTTTTTATTAAGTTTTGGTGCTTGGTTTTGCAATAAATTTTTAACCGCTTAGCTAATATTATTTAAGACTATATTACAGAAACTATTCACCATTCTATTCGTGTAGCATGTCTATAGATCAAAATCGAACCTAAAATGTGCCTCATTTGGCCCAATATCCATAAATATTACATACAAAATCAGGAAAAACAACCAAAAAAATATGCATGTTTTTCAACTTAAATTAACATAACGCAAAATGTTTGTAAAAAAGCAGATATTTATTTAAAAATTAAAAGCCCATCGAATGTATACATTTAAAATTTTCAATTTTATTACCGCTCTGTAAGTATCTTTATTTAAAATAATTAAAATAATTCCAGATTTCTATGAAATATTCTTTAATTAGATACAGTGCGCGTTCAATTAAAAACCCTTTATAAACTTCATGTAAAATATCGTTAAGTAAAACCATAGCAGTTGTGATTTCAATTATTTAGGGGATAAGTAATATCATGCATAATTGTATTTTAGCTTTGACGCAGTGCTGCGGTATTGTTTTTCCAATGATGTGTTTTTTTATTTATGTTTTTGAACATTTGAATTTGCTTGTTTGATAATACCATATTGTTACAGATAGGCATTACGGCGAATACAAATTTTGTAAAAAAATAACACTAGAACAAATGTTTTTTTTACATATTGCTTAGCTTACACATTTTTTGTCATCGAGTTCAAAGTGTAATAATAAATGTATCGGTAGCTTTTGTGTAAACACAAGATTTAGGTAAACCTGAACGTATCCAAATGTATATTTAAAACATGAAAAGATGAATCATGGCGAATGTACGCATTATATTGTGTACTTTTACATACAGTCTGTAGATAACAGATCTATTACTAGGGCAAAAATAATTAATAACTCATTGACAGTGATGATGTGAAACAGTTTATTTGTATAGTAAATGATTTAATTTGATATTTAAGTCTTCGATTACCAAAATTTAAAAAAAATCAACATTTGACGATGTAATTAATTTATCTATATTGTTATGGATATAAGTGTCAAAATAGAATGTTTGTAACGGGTTGGTTCAAGAAAAACTTATCCGATTGACATGTTGAGTTTTCCAACCCATAGACCATGTTATAATTTTATAACAAAATCCTTCTTAGTTCCGCATCAGAGCCTATATAATTAATTGACAACTAATATAAATGTCTAAAAAAGAAGTGTTTTTGTTTAAAATTTTTTTGCAGATAAAAATGAAACGTGTTTGTGTTTTGCTACCACTGGTCTTTGTTAGTGTTTTAGCAGGTCGCCCAAGTAATTTTTATTGAACTTATTTTCACACGAGGTAATTAAAATTTAATGACTAACTTTCCTACAGTGTCCTATGAGCAAAAGGTCTATAGCACAAGTCAGTAATTTTTTTTTGTCTTACAAATTTTAACTAAATGTTTTAATATTTATATATACTTATTTTCAATAATTGATTACAGACATAATAATCGCGAATGCAGAACGTAAGATGTATTTTAAATTAATATACTGCCACGTAATGTTTATTGTTTTGTCAAGTTTTCCTGAATATCAGATTATTTATAAATTAATAATTATAGCTTCTAAATTCTGTTCAGATGAAGAGTGCACAAAATGTATAGTTTCAGTGTTTTAATCACTTTGTAAATACTTTATGTAGCATTTTCTGTAATTTACTTAAAGCACGCTTAGCTATAGAAATTGATAATATTTAGCTTATCTAGGGTGAAAAATGTTAAATGGTCAACAATTAAAACATGGTGTAACTTGTTTTATGTCTTAATCGATTTAATTTGTTACAGATGTGTTTCCCCAAGTACTTAGAAAAATTGTTCGTGAAAATCAATCGATGGGTATTATCGATAACTATTATTATGTAACACAAAATTAATAAAGCTTAGAAAACAGTTTTTTGAAAGTGATATATAAACTTCAACGAAGGTTTACTTGTACGCAAATTTATCAGTGATGCATCGTCGCTTAAGCGGCAACAACGAATATCTCATTTTCTTTAACCGAATTAAGTTGGTATCACTGTTCAAAATTTCGTGGGGCATTAGCTTGTGGGCTCAGATTAACATGTAAAGACAATAAATGACGTACTATTCGAGTAATTTACATCATAGTTGTTATGTTATTGAATGATAGTTGAAATTGATTTTTTGCTATCCTGTAACTAATTCATTTATTTTATGTACATTTTAGAAGAACTAGTTATCATGTTTGTTGTACCGGGTAATAATATTTCTTAAAATGTATGCACGTATTTGCACAGAGTTCTTTAATATTAAATACAAAATGTATTCGTTTTAATTTCAGAAAAGGCAAATATTGAAAACGAACTGCTGAGTAATTATTACTCTTATATAGTTACTCTTTAACATTTATAGTACTTTACATAGTCCATATGTGCATAATTTATATAAATTTACTGATCAAATAATAATTTCTTTCTTAAAAAATATGTACATTAAAATTAATGACTTTTTTTAATAAAATTTAGGATACTTAGATATCGAAACTGATTTGCAAAATGAAATAACCGCCGCCCTAACACATGTAGGTAAGTATAATAATTTGTAAACAACCAATTTCAAAAATAATAGTTATTTATTTCTAAAAAACGATAAAAGTTTGATTTGAGCTCAATATCTTGAAGTTATATTATTTTTTTATTAAAAGTTTTAATAATTGTTTGAAAAATAATTATTCCAATGCTTAATTATTATTATTTTTAATAATAAGTCTACATAAACTCAGTTGTAGATAAATGTTATATAGGTATATAGTATATAACTTCATACAAAAATAAAATAAAGATAAAAGTACTAAAAATAAATGAATATTTTACTATGTTTTATTTATTCAAATAATATTGCCAGTAATTTATTCGAAAATATTTTGAAAATTTTTCTTGTTTCTTAAAAAATGTTTGACTAAACAACCGTTCTAGCTTTATGAGTTTTTACCGTCAATCAGGTCTTACATACACCCTCATTATTTAGATTTCTTATCAAAATAATGTTTTTATTCGGATGACATTGTTATTAACCGTTATTCGAATAATAAATGCCCACTCTGCATACGTCGTCCAATAGCAGATAGTAAATTATATTAAAAATCGAAATTATTTTCTTTTTGTTATCCGTTGACGTTCTACTTTTTAAAAATGTGTCAACATTTGTCATTAAATTATGGCGATCATTTTTTAATTTTATTTATGCAAATTTTATTATTCGGATTTTTTTTTTTATAGCTGAACTCATGCTATTTGTTTTTTATAGATAATTCTGCAACGAGCTCCGAGGGTAGTACACTAGAAGGTAGTTATTATAACCATTAAAAAACATAAAAAGAAAGCTCAAAAAACACATTATATAAAAATATAAAAAATTGCAGCATTGATATAACTCTATGCAAATTTACCAGCGATACACCGTCGCTTTATAGGTATAATATTTTGTCGTCTAGACGGTTATTTGTTATTTTTTGCAGTTGATCCACCTAACTCTAACCTCATTACACTTGGACAAACGAGAAGAGATCTGACTTCAGACGTTCCACAACGTTTATTCCATACTATAGAATCAAGTAAATATTATATCGAATTGACAATTGTAATAGTTTAATCTATATTAATATTATATATATATATATCAGTCATATTCTAGAAAAAATGGTTCGGATGAGTTTAAAAGTTCTCAGCACTTTAACTGACATAAAAAAAATAATATCTAAATTTTTTCGCAACGTTTTTACTGTTAACTCAAAGCACACTACTTTATCCACATGCAGGGCCCCAACAAGGGAGGGGGGGTCAGTGAGACTAGGGTCCCGGGGCCCGGGGAAAAAACAAAATATATACGTATTATTAATTTAAATTAGAAATATATAATGAGCGTGCCACCCCAGTCACTATATGTTTATATAATATTGGTATATTAATATTTTTATTTTTTACTATAATACATAATACTTTTTATAATACATAATTTTGTTTAACAATCTAATTGTAAATTATTTTTGTTTAATGAGATCGGCCACTTGACGTCGGTAGGACGGTAGGCGGGTAGGGCGTGCAGCGCAAGCATTTCTTGGAAAAAATAAAAGGGGAAAAAATCCGGGACGATAAAAGTAATAAGTCAGCCGCCTGCCTTAGTAGTGCTATATTTGGCGTTAGAAGATGATAATTCTTTTATCGACGACCTAAGTCAAAACAACCCGCGATCATAGCATACATTTTAGTTTTTACCCCAACCGTTAATCTCCCGAGTTGTGGCGGTAATATTGTGGTACTTTCTACAGGTGTATAAAAGCAATATAAGCTGTGTAACAAATATTTTAGGTACCTTATGAAAAATAAAAAATAAAATGTTAGAAATTATATTAAAATTATTATAAATACTAATGTATAATAAGGGCTCGGATTCATATACAGTACCGTACTTGAAAAATTCATGTGGGGGGCCTGTTCACATGCAATGTAATTCGGTTTAATTGTTTAATTTAGTTCTTGTTTTTTAATTTTCTTGAACATTAGGAAAAATTCTGGTTTCCATTGAAAATAAGAGGCTTTGTTTTTAATAAATTTAATTATGAAACAAACCATGGTTCGCTTTTTTTAAGTGTATTTTATACAATTTTGATGAATAGTATTATTGGGTGTACATCCATTTTGTCTGCATTTTAAAAACTTTTTGACTGAGAGTATGTGTGTACTAGTTATGTCTGTAGTTGTGTTTTGCACATTAAATAAATGTAATAATTAGAAACTTAAGTTTGGCAAATTTTTAAATAAACCTTTTTTATATTATTTTAAGATCGAACGCATGATGAAGATTACAAAAATAAACACATGATGTGTCGTTTAAAAGGATTGGTTAAAAGTCTAATTAGTCCAAATAGATATATAAAAGAATATGCATTGGGAGACACCTTGCCGTCATCGGATCAAGTATATTGTCATCTAACTACTATTCTTAACGATATTGAATGGGCGATAGTATGAAAGATAACTGCATAAGTAGTCGTTAATAGAAATTATAAATCATTAATAGTAAAAAGTATTCAAAATTGCTTCTCAGTTATTATAATTTAGACCAGGAATGTTAGAGATAATTCATTACTAATTATACAGCACTATTGTTATTCTATTAAAATAATTATTCCAAACCGCACTTTCCTCCTAAATTTTTAAATGTAATGTTTTTTTTTTTTAATAAACAGTTTTGCTTATGGTTATAATCATATTAGTTGTTTTTTACCTATATATCTACAGGTTGTAATCGAAGTGTTCATGAAAATAGCATTTACAGGCATAGTCTGTTTACACTGATTGTCAAAAAATAATAGGTATTATGTATTAGGTTGTGAAAGAAAAAAAAAACTGTTTTAAAATATAAAGTATCCGGTACTTGTGTGATTAAATCTTGTTCGGTAGTATTATTAACGTTTATTTTTTAGTAATATCATCACTTTCAGTCTTAATTCACTCTAATTAATTTTGACCTATAACCTTGCAACGCCACACTGTACTGAATAACAACAACAATACATCATTGTCTTTTATATGACAATAATTAATTATTAAATGTCGAATTGCTCTTTAAGAACTTGGTCGATTACAATATAAAGTAGGTACTCTATATAATGCAGTACATATTTCCTCCTTATTATCTTCTCATTTATCAGTCAGATAATGTTATATCTATAAATTAACTGTGCTGGTTTGAATTGTGTTTGGTTTATACTGTGCTTGGTTTGGACCGTGTTGAGTTTAACTGTACCTTTTTTAATTGTTTTGTTTATTTTTATTTGGTATGTTTATTTGTTTTGTGATTATATAACAAGTCATACACTGAATTTCAAGATGTTAACCTATATAATAGTCTTCAAAATTTACGTGTTGACTAGAATGTTTTTTTTTTACAAAACTTATAGACATATGTTTAACCTATCTTCACTCTAATTTTCAGTTCTTAAAACTTACAATAGCACCTAAAAGTAGGTAGGTATAATAGTATTAGGTTGTGAAATAAAAAAAAACACTGTTTTAAAATATAAAGTATCCGGTACTTGTATGATTAAATCTTGTTCGGTAGTACTATTAATGTTTATTTTAAAGTAATACCATCACTTTCAGTCTAAATAATTCATTTTGACCTGTGACCTTGCAACACCCTACTGTACTACATAACAATAATAATACATCACTGTATTTTTTATGACAATAAATAATAATTAAACGTCATAATGCACATCAAATAAAAATAGTATACTTATTAAGAAACTCTTAAAAAACTTGGGCTACTACAATATAATGTATTCCATAATGCTGTACACTAAATATACAGTGTGGGGACGCACAGTGGGACAGATGGCCGATCTAGGTTGAACAAATTTGAAACTTATCCTATCTTATCAGAAATTTCACGCTGATCACGAAAATGGCATCGAGGTCGCACAGGACGTAAAATATCTTTTTTCTCAGTTTAGGCTTTAATAATCCAGTCGGAAACCAATATATCAGTACATACATATTGTACAATAATATTGTTTAAAGACATTGTATGTTTAAAGGAATTATTAGTTAGGTAAGGTTATTACATAAGTTATGTTAGACCGTTAATTACCCCATCAGTTTTCACTGGTATTGCCCCTATCAGACTATTTTTTCATAAATGTATTTAATTAAAAGCTGTAATATTTAGGTATATTATAAGAAAATAATTGCAATCCTTGCCAGTTTGTGATATATTAGGAACAGTCAATAACGTAAACAATTAGAAAAGCTTAATTTGAGATGAGTTTTAATGTGGAAAAATATTACAACAAAAGTGATATAAAAATTGATTATTATTTTTTGGTATGAAAAAAGTTGTTTATCATTTTGATACATCTGATATAAGGTTTTGGTAACAACAGTTTTTAAATTATGTGCTCATCTAAATTTTAGCTATCATATTTTAAGAGATATGCCATTGACCTGTATTACCACTGACTGATATTCCCCATAAGTAATTTTAAATTTAAAAGAGTGTACATTTTTGGGTGGTTTTCTCGATTTTGAAGGGGAAGGGTTAAATTTTTAATTTTTCGGTCAAATAAAGTACCTTTCAGGTACGATCACTGATCTATAGAGTTGCTACACGGAGAAATCGGTTGAGAATATCGTGGGTCCAGATAAAAAAAAAAAAACACATTGTGAGAACAATAACTCTTCAGCTCCGCATCAAAGCTAAATTAGAGAGAAATAAATTACAGTAAACGGACGAACAAATTGGCTCGATTTTCTTAAAAAATTCGAGTAAAAGAATGACTAATTAAAAAAATTCTACTTTTGCGCAAAAATGCGCTGAAAACCTGATACATAGTCTGATAGAGAATTAAAATACCTATCTAATGGTGGAAGAATTGCTCTGGCCTATTGTGGCCATATGTTACTTTTTTGAAAAATTGCCCAAAATTGCTTTCGCGTCTAAAGTTTCAATATAATATTGATAGAAAATATTATGTACTAATCAGTATTAATGTATTTATGTATTAACAGTTCATTAAATAATAACATTATGGATACATCTCTTGCTATTATACTTTTATTGTTAACTCAAAGCACACTACTTTATTCACAGGCAATGTAATTCGGTTTAATTGTTTAATTTAGTTCTTGTTCTTTAATTTTCTTGAACATAAGGCAAAACTCCGGTTACCATTGAAAATAAGAGGCTTTGTTTTTAATAAATTTAATTTTAATTTACGTTCAGGATATAAAATATGTTTCACACTTATATAAACAAGTAAACATCGTACAATATATTTGCATACTGCAAAACTTCGTTAGATTTTACAATTTTGTTAGTTAACAAATCGCAAGAAAATCACTTTTAAACGGTTGCTGTAACATAGGTGTTCACAAGAGTTTTACCATAACTTCAAAAGTTACTAGTAAGTATTTAATACATTTTTTACTAAGTTTTGGTGCTTGGTTTTGCAATAAATTTTTAACCGCTTAGCTAATATTATTTAAGACTATATTACAGAAACTATTTACCATTCTATTCGTGTAGCATGTCTATAGATCAAAATCGAACCTAAAATGTGCCTCATTTGGCCCAATATCCATAAATATAACATACAAAATCAGGAAAAACAACCAAAAAAATATGCATATTTTTCAACTTAAATTAACATAACGCAATATGTTAGTAAAAAAGCAGATATTTATTTTAAAACTAAAAGCCCATCAAATGTATACATTTTAAATTTTCAAGTTTATTACCGCTCTGTAAGTATCATTATTTAAAATAATTAAAATAATTCCAGATTTCTATGAAATCTTCTTTGATTAGATACAGTGCGCATTCAATTAAAAACCCTTTATAAACTTCATGTAAAATATCGTTAAGTAAAACCATAGCAGTTGTGATTTCAATTATTTAGGGGCTAAGTAATATCATGCATAATTGTATTTTAGCTTTGACGCAGTGCTGCGGTATTGTTTTTCCAATGATGTGTTTTTTTATTTGTGTTTTTGAACATTTGAATTTGCTTGTTTGATAATACCATATTGTTACAGATATATGTACACATTATATTGTGTACTTTTACATACAGTCTGTAGATAACAGATGTATTACTACTGTCAAAATGAATAAGAACTCATTGACAGTGATGATGTGAAACAGTTTATTTGTATAGTAAATGATTTAATTTGATTTTGTTTTATAGAAGAGGCCTAATCTTCGATTTACTAAAATTATAAAAAAAACAACATGTGACACTGTAATCAATTTATCTATATTGTTATGGATATAAGTGTCAAAATTGTTAACTATTTATGTTAAGTAACGCACAACGAAAAGATTTGAATACTTTTATTTGAACAAAATAATAATTACACGAACATAGAACAGGTCAACCCCAACTGTCTCCGTTGCAGGCCACCAACCGACTAACTAACTCTAACCTATTATACACAATCATTAGATATACATAATATGAGATAACACTCGGCCTTCCTGCTATTTTGTTATGTCCCCATAACAATTACAAAAAAAAACAGATAACTTTTAAGTCTTACAAATTAATAACTAATCCAGAACAATTAATAACAATTACATTTTATACAAGCAAAATTTAAAAAACAATTTTTTTCTCTTTTTTTTTTCTCTTGTGAGTTTTCTTTAGAAAGACACATAATCGGAAAACTTCGCTGGTTTCCTCTTCGTCCTCACTGGCCTCTGTGAACTGATTCCCTTGGGTGTCAAGTCTTCTTCCGTGACCGTTTTAATTTCGTCTGGCATCTCCTGTTCTTCAGCTGGTCTTTGAAAATCGACTTTCTTAGGTGTTGAATCTCCTACCGTGGTTATGTCATTTCCGTCCGACATTTCTTGGTCTTCAGCTATCACCTTCCAAGATTTTAGTTGAGACACATGTGCAGTTGTTATATAGTGCCTGTTCTTTTCTTGGGATAATTGTTCTACACGATAAACATCTCCCGGCAAAACTTCCACAACTACTAATGGGCCTCGGTAACGGTCTTGTAATTTGGTCGATTCTCCTGTAGCAGTAGGGACCCTGGTCATCACAACTATCTCTCCTACCTTGTAGTGTATGTGATTGTGAAGATGAGCATTAAACGCCTTCTTGGTTTTTTCCTGAGACTTTTCAACTGCGGTCTTAGCTTCCTCTCACAATTCAGCAGGACAAGTCCACTCTTCAGACGAAGTCGACAGCTCACGTAGCGGTCCCAAAAAAAATCTAGGACGATAGCCATGAAGCAGTTAGAACGGAGTACGACAACTGACTTTACTCTCACTGTTATTTATCTGTCGTTGTACTTCTCCTAAAAGTTGGGCCCAATCCGCATGCTCCTCTATCTGTGTAATCAACATAGACAACACAACGCTGTTAATCCGCTCTACCTGTCCGTTTGCTTGAGGTCTTCGAGTAGAATTTAACACATGATAAATGCCCATCTTCTCACAATTTCATGAAAAGCATGTGATGTAAAGCAGGTTCCTCTGTCAGTGATGAGCCTTCTCGACAGCCCATACTTCTGTACGAAATCACTCATGTGAATCAACACATCTTCCGTACTAGTGTCCCTGGCAGCATAAAGACAGACATATTTGGTCAGATTATCTACCATTACTAATATGTATCTTTCTCCTCTGGCTGTCCTCACAAATGGCCCGACATGATCCATGTTTACCACTTCAAACGGTCTATGCGCAACTGGAATCGGATGTAATAGCCCTGGGCGTCGCCCCCTTGGCTTTTTGGACATTAGGCACTCCATACACATGTAGATGTGCTGTTTTACATACCTCCGCAACCCCACGAACCAATAGTCTTGCAGTATATTGCTCACTGTTTTGTCCACTGACAGATGTCCATTAAGGTCATGCGAAGCAACTACAACACTCTTCCGCATGCTTCTCGGCATAACAAACAGCAACTTCCCTTGATGATTTCGATAAAGCAGCTGTCCTTGTAGCATAAAGTGTCTTACTTCACCTCTCTCTGCTTTCGAACGTTCATCTTCCGGTTTCTTTAATATGTCAATCAGTTTTTGTATCTCTTCATCTGTCACTTGAACCATAAGTATTCGTTCCTGTTGTTCTAACGATACACAAACATCCAGACGTCCAGATAACACCTCATCCAACGTTTCTTCCTCATGTCCATCAACTGGAGCTCTAGATAAGGCGTCGACATGTGTCATCTTAGTTCCGGCACGATGTTTGATATCAAAGTCATACTCCAGCAACAGATCATGCCAACGTTGAATTTGTGGATGTGTATCTCGGTGGGTCTTCAAGTAAACTAATGCTTGGCAGTCAGTAATAATCATAAACTTCTTACCTATCAAGAAATGTCTCCACTTATTCACTGCCCAGACAAGACACATCAAGTCCAACTTACTGGAATGATACTTGGACTCTGGTTCTGTAAGTCTCTTACTGATGCATTAGACAAGTTGTAGAGGACGGACTCCATCTCCACTCTGTAATAACATAGCCCCTAAACCTAAAGAACTGGCATCCCTTCACCGACTACAAAACCAAGAAATTCAATTTGCTTCGCCCCAAACGAACACTTGGACGGCTCTAATGTTAAATTAGCTTCTCTTAACTTTTCCAGGACTAATTTAAGTTTTCCCAACATATTGGTCCAATCTTCGGCGTCTATGACCCAATCGTCCAGGTAGTGCTTCACTATTTTGTTCCGTAGTTTTCCCAACACCTTGTGCATGAGTCTCGTAAACTCACCCGGCGCACCAGCCAGACCAAACGCAACTCTAGCGAATTGTCCAGTGTCATCCGGAGTGATAAAAGCGGTTTTCTCTTGAGCTGACTCGCTTAATGGAATTTGCAAGTACCCAGTGGCCAAGTCTAATTGCGCAAACATGTTCTCTGACGCCAGTGCCTCTACCTGTTTCATCAAGTCAGGCAACGGAAAATTATTCCTCTTTACTTGTTTATTTAATCGGCGATAGTCTACGCATAGTCTATTTTTGTCTTTTTGTTTGACTAGAACAACTGGACTTGCGTAAGGAGAATCCGTGTCTACTACCAGTCCATGTCGTTTCCATTCACTTATTATCTCGGCGATTGCCTCTCGATCCGCGGTTGTAGTTTTATAAGGCCGGCAAGTTACGGGCTCACTCCCCTCCGTCTCTTGAATGTTCATGGATACCAGCCCCGGACTTTTATCTTCGCTTGATAAATTATCCGACTGATAACCAACCGACGGAGCAGCATGTTCCTTACGGTTTCTTACTAGTTTCGCATTACTAGAACGGAGAGCGTTCATCCTCGCCCACTCCAATAAGTCCGCCAACAGACTATCTTCGTTGTTATGGACTTTACTTAAAGCATACATGGCTAACTCTTTTGTATAAATGCCCTGTAACACATAATCACGTGTCTCTTCGAACTTCAGTCCCAGTTCCCGACACAAACGCACTTTGTCTTGAAAGTATACCATGATGTGTTCATCGCGACCTTGATGTCTGTTTGTCAAAGCATCCCATCTGTCGGACATTCGAACTTCTCTGATAAAGGTGGTTTTGAACTGCGAAACGAAATCGATCCAGTCTTTAAAATCTCTGGCTGTGAACCAACTCTTTGCGGCTCCAGTCACATGTGCGCGTACAAACTGAAATCGGAACTTGAATGGCCACTCATTTAGCTCAGCGGTACCTTCAACTGTCTGTAGCCAGTCCATCGCATCATATGTCGATTCGCATCCATCGAATAACCTTACTGTTTTATCTATACGATATTCGTTTACCGTTTTCGATTCACCATCACTCGACCGCGATACATTTTCGAGTGCGCGTACCTTTTCTTCGGAACTTTAAATAGTTTTCGGATCGTCTGATCGGTTATCGCGTTGTAGAAAAGAACAGAAAGCTGATAACGACGTCGGTCGCTTACCGTACTAATCGTTGTTGATAACCACGGTTACTGAGTGGTCACCAAACGTCGCGCCAAATCGTACTAACTACTAACGCTTTGTTTCAAATCCACGTGACAATGTCCTCGATTCTCGGCAAAACGGTCGTTTAACTTCGGATTTCGTTTTTCAACGGCCGCGACCCGAACTCCAAATACTACAAATCAACAACTAAAGCTGTTGCGATCGTATAAAACAAAAAAAATCTGCAAACTACGCGTCGTACACGCCACGTCGGCTTACCGTACACGCTACGAAGTCGTCAGTCGTTTTCGACGCACAGATTACTTTATCCCACTTCTGAATTTATGTTAAGTAACGCACAACGAAAAGATTTGAATACTTTTATTTGGACAAAATAATAATTACACGAACATAGAACAGGTCAACCCCAACTGTCTCCGTTGCAGGCCACCAACCGACTAACTAACTCTAACCTATTATACACAATCATTAGATATACATGATATGAGATAACAAAATAGAATCTTTGTAACGGGTTGATTCAAGAAAAACTTATCCGATTGACATGTTGAGTTTTCCAATCCACAGAACATGTTATAATTTTGTAACAAAATCCTTCTTAGTTCCGCATCAGAGCCTATATAATTAATTAACAACTAATATAAATGTCTAAAAAAGAAGTGTTTTTGTTTATAATTTTTTTGCAGATAAAAATGAAACGTGTTTGTGTTTTGCTACCACTGGTCTTTGCTAGTGTTTTAGCAGGTCGCCCAAGTAAGTTTTATTCAACTTATTTTCACACGAGGTAATTAAAATTTAATGACTAACTTTCCTACAGTGTCCTATGAGCAAAAGGTCTATAGCACAAGTCAGTAATTTTTTTTTATCATACAAATTTTAACTAAATGTTTTAATATTTATATATACTTATTTTAAATAATTTATTACAGACATAATAATCGCGAGTGCAGGAGGTAAGATGTATTTTAAATTAATATACTGCCACGTAATGTTTATTGTTTTGTCAAGTTTTCCTGAAAATCAGATGATTTATAAATTAATAATTATAGCTTCTAAATTCTGTTCAGACGAAGAGTGCACAAAATGTATAGTCTCAGTGTTTTAATCACTTTGTAAATACTTTATGTGGCATTTTCTGTAATTTACTTAGAGCACGCTTAGCTATAGAAATTGATAATATTTAGCTTATCTAGAGTGAAAAATGTTAAATGGTCAACAATTAAAACATGGTGTACTTTGTTTTATGTCTCAATCAATTTAATTTGTTACAGATGTGTTTCCCCAAGTACTTAGAAAAATTGTTCGTGAAAATCAATCGATGGGTATTGTCGATAACTATTATTATATAACACAAAATTAATGAAGCTTAGAAAACAGTTTTTTGAAAGTGATATACAAACTTCAACATAGATTACTGTTGCATTGTTTTACCATTTTGATAATTTTCATAGGGATGTCAAATGCCCTGAGCGCCTCCCATAGCCTTTCCCTGTCTACGCTATCATAAGCCTGTTTATAGTCCACGAACACCATATGCAGGTCCTTTGCGTATTCAAAGTGCTTTTCCATTAGTTGTCTCACTACAAATATATGGTCTGTGGTTGATCTTCCATTCCTGAATCCACTTTGGTATTCTCCTACGGCCTCTTCAGCATATCTCTCTAATCTTTTTAATATTATTAATGATAGGACCTTGTACCCTGTATTTAATAGAGTTATCCCCCTGTAGTTTTTTACTTTTCCTCGGTCTCCATTTTTGAATATTGGGCAGATAAGTGTTTCATTCCAAATCTCTGGAAGCGTTTCTTCTTCCCATATTTGTAGAATTACAAAATTAATAAAGCTTAGAAAACAGTTTATTAAAAGTGATATACAAACTTCAACATAGATTTACTTGTGCGCAAATTTATCAGTGATGCATCGTCGCTTAAGCGGCAACAACGAATATCTAATTTTTTTTAACCGAATTAAGTTGGTATCACTGTTCATAATTTCGTGGGGCATTAGCTTGTGGGCTCAGATTAACATGTAAAGACAATGAATAACGTACTATTCGAGTAATTTACATCATAGTTGTTATGTTATTGAATGATAGTTGAAATTGATTTTTTGCTATCCTGTAACTAATTCATTTATTTTATGTACATTTTAGAAGAACTAGTTATCATGTTTGTTGTACCGGGTAATAATAATATTTCTTAAAATGTATGCACGTATTTGCACAGAGTTCTTTAATATTAAATACAAAATGTATTCGTTTTAATTTCAGAAAAGGCAAATATTGAAAACGAACTGCTGAGTAATTATTACTCTTATATAGTTACTCTTTAACATTTATAGTACTTTACATAGTCCATATGTGCATAATTTATATAAATTTACTGATCAAATAATAATTTCTTTCTTAAAAAATATGTACATTAAAATTAATGACTTTTTTAATAAAATTTAGGATACTTAGATATCGAAACTGATTTGCAAAATGAAATAACCGCCGCCCTAACACATGTAGGTAAGTATAATAATTTGTAAACAACCAATTTCAAAAATAATAGTTATTTATTTCTAAAAAACGATAAAAGTTTGATTTGAGCTCAATATCTTAAAGTTATATTATTTTTTTATTAAAAGTTTTAATAATTGTTTGAAAAATAATTATTCCAATGCTTAATTATTATTATTTTTAATAATAAGTCTACATAAACTCAGTTGTAGATAAATGTTATATAGGTATATAGTATATAACTTCATACAAAAATAAAATAAAGATAAAAGTACTAAAAATAAATGAATATTTTACTATGTGTTATTTATTCAAATAATATTGCCAGTAATTTATTCGAAAATATTTTGAAAGTTTTTCTTGTTTCTTGAAAAATGTTTGACTAAACAACTGTTCTAGCTTTATGAGTTTTTACCGTCAATCAGGTCTTACATACACCCTCATTATTTAGATTTCTTATCAAAATAGTATTTTTATTAACCGTTATTCGAATAAAAAATGCCCACTCTGCGTATGCCGTCTAATATCAGATAGTAAATTATATTAAAAATCGACATTATTTTCTTGCTGTTATCCGTTGGTGTTCTACTTTTTAAGAATGTGTCAACATTTATCATTAAATTATGGCGATCATTTTTTAATATTATTTATGCTGATTTTATTATTCGGAGTTTTTTTTTTTATAGCTGAACTCATGCTATTTGTATTTTATAGATAATTCTGCAACGAGCTCCGAGAGTAATCCACTAACAGGTAGTTATTATAATCATTAAAAAATATAAAAAGAAAGCTCAGAAAACACAGTATATAAAAAAATTGCAGCATTGATATAACTCTATGCAAATTTACCAGCGATACACCGTCGCTTTATAGGTATAATATTTTGTCGTCTAGACGGTTATTTGTTATTTTTTGCAGTTGTTCCACCTAACTCTAACCTCATTACACTTGGACAAACGAGAAGAGATCTGACTTCAGACGTTCTAGACATTTTATTCGATACTATAGAATCAAGTAAATATTATATCGAATTGACAATTGTAATAGTTTAATCTAATATATATATATCTTATTATATATATATATACATACTTTAACTGACATAAAAAAATAATATCTTAATTTTTTCGCAACATTTTTACTGTTAACTCAAAGCACACTACTTTAAACCGAATTACATTCGGTTTATTTGTTTAATTTAGTTCTTGTTCTTTAATTTTCTTGAACATTATGTTCAAGAAAATCTCAGGTTTCCGTTGAAAATAAGAGGCTTTGTTTTTAATAAATTTAACTATGAAACAAACCAGGGTTCACTTTTTTTAAGTTTATTTTATACAATTTTGATGAATAATATTATTGGGTGTATTTCCATTTTATCTGCATTTTAAAAACTTTTTGACTGAGAGTATGTGTGTACTAATTATGTCTGTAGTTGTGTTTTGCACATTAAATAAATGTAACAACTAGAAAGTTAAGTTTGGCAAATTTTTAAATAAATCTTTTTTATATTATTTTAGATCGAACGCATGAAGATTACAAAAATAAACACATGATGTGTCGTTTAAAAGGATTGAATAAAAGTATAATTTGGCCAGATAGATATGTAATAAAATATGCATTGAGGGAAACCATTGAATCAACGGGTCGTGTAGTTTGTGAGCTAACTACTATACGTAACGATGTTGAGTGGAGTTTAGTATGATAGATGTCTGCATAAGTAGTCGTTAATAAAAAGTTTAAATCATTAATAGAAAAAAATATTCAAAATTGCTTCTCAGTTATTATAGTTTAGACCAGGAATTTTAGAATTAATTCATTACAAATTATACAGCACTATTGTTATTCTATTAAAATAATTATTCCAAACCGCACTTTCCTCCTAAATTTTTAAATGTAATGTGTTTTTTTTTTAATAAACAGTTTTGCTTATGGTTATAATCATATTAGTTGTTTTTTACCTATATATCTACAGGTTGTAATCGAAGTGTTCATGAAAATAGCATTTACAGGCATAGTCTGTTTACACTGATTGTCAAAAAATAATAGGTATTATGTATTAGGTTGTGAAAGAAAAAAAAAACTGTTTTAAAATATAAAGTATCCGGTACTTGTATGATTAAATCTTGTTCGGTAGTATTATTAACGTTTATTTTTTAGTAATATCATCACTTTCAGTCTTAATTCACTCTAATTAATTTTTACCTATAACCTTGCAACACCCCACTGTACTGAATAAATTTACTAATCAAATAATAATTTCTTTCTTAAAAAATATGTCCATTAAAATGAATGACTTTTTTTAATAAAATTTAGAATACTTAGATAACGAAACTGATTTGCAAAATGAAATAACCGCCGCCCTATATCATGTAGGTAAGTATAATAATTTGTAAATAACCAATTTCAAAAATAATAGTTATTTATTTCTAAAAAACTATAAAAGTTTGATTTGAGCTCAAAGTCTTGAAGTTATATTTTTTTTTTATTAAAAGTTTGATAATTGTTTGAAAAATAATTATTCCAATGCTTAATTATTATTATTTTTAATAATAAGTCTACATAAACTCAGTTATAGATAAATGTTATTTAAGTATATAGTATATAACTTCATACAAAAATAAAATAAAGATAAAAGTACTAAAAATAAATGAATATTTTACTATGTTTTATTTATTCAAATAATATTGCCAGTAATTTATTCGAAAATATTTTGAAAATTTTTCTTGTTTCTTGAAAAATGTTTGACTAAACAACCGTTCTAGCTTTATGAGTTTTTACCGTTAATCAGGTCTTACATACACCCTCATTATTTAGATTTTTTATCAAACTAATGTTTTTATTCGGATGACATTGTTATTAACCGTTATTCGAATAAAAAATGCCCACTCTGCATATGCCGTCTAATATGAGATAGTAAATTATACTAAAAATCGACATTATTTTCTTGCTGTTATCCGTTGCTGTTCTACTTTTTAAGAATGTGTCAACATTTATCATTAAATTATGGCGATCATTTTTTAATATTATTTAAGCCGATTTTGTTATTCGGAGTTTTTTTTTTATAGCTGAACTCATGCTATTTGTTTTTTATAGATAATTCTGCAACGAGCTCCGAGGGTAGTCCACTAGAAGGTAGTTATTATAACCATTAAAAAACATAAAAAGAAAGCTCATAAAACACATTATATAAAAATATAAAAAATTGCAGCATTGATATAACTCTATGCAAATTCACCAGCGATACACCGTC